CAAAAGTGGCTATTAATTTCCCTATTTTTAATAGCCCTCTCCTAATTTTTAAAATATATAGTAAGGAAAATTGCATATTTCTACTGCTCTTTTCAAAAATTGCTCATTAAGCAGTAATTTATCTATACAATTTTTGTACAAATTTTTGTGGATATTTCTAGTTAGAACAGAATGATGTGAACAAATTACTTTTACTTTTAGCCTCAAATTTCAATAGGTATATAATATTGGGTAAATTTTATTTTTTAATTAAAGTTAAAAGTAGTCATTTAAATGATGAATTTTTAGAATTATGTGCAAAAATGTATTGTCTTTTTTAGTTTTTACAGTATAAATTATGACAAGAATTGTTAGAACTGCTGAAATTTTCTATAGGCCCAAGTATTTTTATAATCAAGAATATTAGGCCAAATTCTCTCAAAATACAAGTAAAAATAATTCTACAGATAATTTTCAAAGCTGCTATTAAAAATGTGTCATTTTTTATTTATTAAAACCTAAAAATTAAGCAAGGGCCTAAAGATGCTTGTACAGTTGTACACAGGGATAGTGCAGATGGCTAGTAGATCTGACGGTTGCCAAATATCTGCTGCTTGGTGTCTATCCCGCAAGGAAGCTTAGACACGAGGCAAGTTTAAGGTGCCGCCATGCCAGTAACAACTAGATACCGGCACAGCGGCACCTTAAACTTGCCTTGTGTCTAAGCTTACTTGCTAGATTGACACCAAGCGCCAGACATTTGGCAACTGTCAGATCTGCCAGCCATCTGCACTATCCTTGTGTACAAGCACCTATAGAAATGTGTGAAATTATCTGTGAGGTTAGGTGTTTTTGTCTTACATATGCCGCTTCTGCCAAATTATCCAGTTTAGGCATTTTTGTCTTATTCATGGGCAGTGTCTGTCTGAGTTTCCAGTTAGGGTTGAATGTAATTTATCATAAATATAAGAGATTAGGTGGTCTTAGTCCATAAGGGCTAGTACAAATGCATGAAAATCTAAAAAAAAATCTAATCTCCAAGCTGCAACTGGATTTTTGAAGCCTTGAGTTTATACAATATATATTCTGTAATGAAAAGAAATTTCAAGCTAGATCAATTATCTCCTATCTAAATGTTAACAAACATGCACAATCATTAAGTTGCAAGATTCAAAAGGGAGGGTTGGCAATTTTTTTGATTTTTCATGATTTTTTTTTTTTTTTTTTTTTTTTTTTTTTTTTTTTTTTTTTTTTTTTTTTTTTTTTTTTGATTTTTTTTTTTATTTATTTGATTTTTTTATTTTTTCAGCTTTTTTGCCTTTTTGAAGTGTTATTTTTTATGTTGCAATTAGCCTACTAACAATAACAGTATGTGGATCATAGTGGATAGCCAATAAGGGCACTTATTGCCTTATTAATGGCCAACAGGCCAAGGTGGTGTTTACCACTTAGGGATTTCTGGGTAAACAATTATTGATAAGTCTATTCATTAGCTTTGTAAAGTTTGTATGGAGCAAGGTAATGAGCTAAATATTAACCATTTAACTGGCTTCAATATACAAAAACCCTCAGGAATGCAGATCTTAACATTGAAGAGTTACATAACAGATAGGTAGCTGATAGCAAAGTGCACGGCACTATCAATAGATCTACAAGTTTTATGTCCTATAAATCTACCAGACTCTACCCTCTATACACACCAACTAGTAGTGACTGACTGCACTGTTCCCATTTAATGCAGACCAATAAATCAATACTTAACATAAACTGAACGATAACCAAACAAACCTCATAGGTACAACTTGAAACAAGACTTAACTCTCAATATACAGGGTGGGTTAGAACCGATTGAGCAGTTTTGAGGTGAAATAAAAGAGTAAAGGAGCCTAAGGAGGTACATAAAGAAGAAAGTTTATTTTTCTAGAGGTTAGCATAACATACCATTTAGAATACTTATGTTTTGAAAACAATATCTGGAAGATGGGGGCTGTTAGCTGCAACACACATTTGGAGTCGTTCTCAGAGGAGGGAGTAACCGTAACGGTGAATTCTGATTGCTATGCTGCAATGTTGCAAAATTTCTTGCAGCCCATGATGGAAAACATTGTTGAAAATGAAGCATTGGGAGATGTGTGGTTCCAGCAGGATGGGGCTACAGCTCACACAGCTCGAATGTCACTCAACGTTTTGAAATGCATGTTTCCCGGAGGTCTGGTGTCTCTGAGGGGTGATTTACAGTGGCCTGCGAGGTCACCTGATTTGAGCATTTGCAATTTCTTTCTCTGAGGACATCTAAAAGAGAGGGTGTTCAGAAGTTGCCCTCACAACCACCACAGCTAAGGGAACAGATTATTGCAGCATAGGTTATGGCCATACCTCGCCAAATGTGTGAACTTGCTGTAGGAAACTTCCGAGAACAACTCCAACAGTGTGATGCAGCCAATGGACACCATCTTCCTAATATTGTTTTCAAAACATAAGTACACTGTGTACACAAAAATATTATATTCTCTATTTGGGTTAAAATGCTCAATAATTAAATTTAAAATGAAAGCTTCGGATGAAAGGTATTTTAAATGGTATGTTATGCTAACCTTGAGGAAATTAAACTTTCTTCTTCATGTACCTCCATTACTCTTTTATTTCACCTCAAAACTGTTCAATCAGTTCTGCCCCACCCTGTATAAGCTAGCTAACACATTTAAATTGTATATTGTAATCAATATATAACAAATAGTTAACTACTTATAGCCTTATAAGAATTAGCTAAGCTGCTAGCTACGTACAATGTATTGCACACTTGATGCCTCTGTACCAAAAACATTCAATTTATTGGAACCTAATACACACTAAAGGCAACAAGTTTATATACCAATTTGTCATTCATAGTACATTTATACTGAACCATGAATAACAATACCTCAATATAAATTAAAGACTGCCGCTCAATATATTTAAATTTATGAAAAAATAAAAAAAAATCAGAAAAATAAAAAATCATGATTTTTTTTATAAAAAAACCAAGTGATTTAATCAGATGATTTAATCATTTTGATTTAATCATTGCCAACCCTGTCAAGAGGTATGATTAATATGTCATTTTGGGCTTTGGAGCCTCCTCAAAATTTAGTAGGTTCTTTTATAATCATAGCCCCAAACCTCCTAAGTCATGTATTTCAGTTTGATCAGAAATATTATGGCTTGCAAATATATTATTCCATGATATTTTGAACTTTCGTGGTTCAGGGCCATGCTTGTACAACAATATCTTGTCTTGATTATTGTCATCTATAATTGTATTTCCATTGAAAAAATCAGCTTTAATTGTTTAGAGACTAGCATTTTTTCAAATTGAGGCAAATAAATTCCTTTAAATGCTTCTATGCCTGTCACATTTTGAATCATCTTTGTTTGTAAGTATACAAGTAAATTAAATCAAACCATTGCAGTCTAACTTAGGATTTTGGCAATGTCATTATTGCTATCTTAGGGACCTGATTGTAAAGTATTTATGGTAAACAGAGATTGTGGACACTGAATTTATTGATTCCATGAGGCCAAAATGTTATAAAGGCCAACAGCATTTGCAAATAATGCTTCTTTATTAATAGGGATTTGAATAAATATGGCCACAAACATATACAATCTCTGCAGATAATGGATGCCAGTCAAAAGAGGTGGCAGATACAAATCAAGGGGTATTAACACGTTGGCCGCGATTGCTGATTTGGCCCGAATGCCGTACGGGCGATAGGTTCAAACTTCAAACTTGTATATCTTCAGTTACCCGGCAGATAGCAAGGAGAAAAGTTGTGTGCAGCTCTGCAAGGGTATGTTCTGTCATTGTGTCACGTAAAATTCGTGGCCGCATTTAGATTTAGTGCACATCGCTCAGGGTTGAAATTCGTCATTATTCCTGGCGATGTGTACCAAATGAAGCCATGCCTGTTGTGGCTCATATTGGCTCACGCCGCCTATCGTAATCACTTCTAATACTGCGGGCGATGTGTACCAAGCAAAGACTTGCATCTATGGCTCATATTGCGGAAAAACGCCTAAAATTATCACTTTTATCACTGTGAGTGATGCGCGCAAGAAATCTACATTAGTTTTGAGTCATAATTGCACACATTATGACTACCGGTATCTCTTAGCTTTTTTGTGAACGATGTATATTACGCATGGAAATTACTATGGAAAGAGATTGGTGTCCAGGTTTTCATAATCCTGAATAAAATTGATGGTATTTACATTGTTAGTTCAGTTATATTTACCTTATAGAGATCATTCATCGTATATATTGTCTTGAGCTTCTGTTACAAGCAGCATCTCAGAGAAAGAGTAAAATCAGGATGTATATCTCAAATTATCGAGTGGGACAGAGGACAGCCAACTTTCATTGAACCAACTAGAACTAAAGCCAGGATGCGCTGCCATGAATGCTACAACATACTCTCAGCAAATGAGGGAAGTGCCGTAGCAAAGGTGAAACTCAGAGGATAAAAAAATACATTGGTGACTGAAGGAAAGTCATACATGTGCGATAATTGTTTTTCAATCAGGTATGAAATATAATGATGTTGGCAACACCCAATTTTGTAGTTTCAGATCACTGAGAAAATATTTTATTTTCTTTTCATACAAAGATAGATATATATATTGCTTTCATCAATGGCCACAAATTTCGTAATTTTTGTATTACTTGCATTTGAAAATAAAACTATTTCTCAAAGCAGTAGTTGACTTCAAAGCATTCCCTGACATGCCTATTTAATTGCATCATTGAAATTTTAAATTTGAAAGAGTAATAAGATTTTATAAAAATATGTATTTTTCATATGAATGTACCACATGTGTACACATCGCGATTCTGAGAAGTACAGCGTGTACATATATGGCGCACATCGCGGCCAACGTGTTAATCCATCAATCAATAACTTTTGATCAGACATGAACACCAATTTAAAGTCAAGATAAGTTTGACAGCTTAAAAAATTGCCAATATCTTGACCTAAAAAGTCATATATATTTAATTTGATTTTCTGACTTAGAGATGCAAACCCATTGTGATTTTGACTGTCGAAAGGGCGAAGACTGTTAAATTTGTTGTATTGATGAATTGTCAACCAAAAGTCTTTCTGAGCAAGTATATTTTATGTCAATATTTTTATATTATTTTTTCTAGAGAAAAAGTGAATTAGAAATCAAATATGGCAACTTTCGTATTATCTATCGAAAACGTGAGGTGTAGATGATTGATTTATAAATTTCTAAAAGCACTTGCTTTCTGTTTGAAGATAGAATTAGGAATGTCTTCCAATGTGGGCTACAATTCAAGCTCTGCAAATTTATCTGCATCTGAAATTGCAGCAGCTGGTGCTGTTAGTGGTTTTGTTACACGCATGTTGGCTCAACCACTCGATGTGCTCAAGATTAGATTTCAAGTAAGTTCCAAGGATGAGCATTAACATGTTGAAAATTATACCTATATGTAGTTCATAGCCAAGTAAGTTCCAAGGATGAGATGAAGATGTTAAAAATTATAGATGTAGTTAATAGCTATAGCTATAGGGTTGTGGATGCTGTTTGAACTCTGATGTGCCATCATTTAAAATTTGGATGATTGTATCAATGATAGTTGACTGGAGTACATCAAGGGACCAGAAATTTTGATTTTTTAAATGAATTGTTTAATGGCCTGAAAATTATATTATTATAAATATGAATTATATGAACAAACAAAATTGTTGGTGCTTCTTTTATTATCTTTCAGACCTTGAATAAATATGAAAAAATTCTTATTTCGTGTGATGACAGCTTCAGGTGGAGCCTACCACCAGGGGTGGGGGAGGTCACTACACTGGGCTACTGCAGGCCGGTGCTAGGATTGTGAGAGAGGAGGGAGCCAGGGCGCTCTGGAAAGGGCATGTTGCTGCTCAGGTCCTTACAGTGTTGTATGGGGCTGGCCAGGTCTGTATTTATTATGGCAAATGAACATTTGTGTATATATATATATGTGTTGAACCAAATTCTATCACTCAATGCATCTTGTAACTTGACAATTTATGATTGATAGGTACATTCGAAATGTTAAAGTAATAAAAATTTCAATTGGTGCTCTGATTATTGATCTACCAGTGCCATTGAAAAATGTTGTTTGAGCTATTGAAAAAAAAAAAATTGCCAAGAAATTGTCAATATATGTTTCAGTATATTTGTGCAAATTTCTAAGGCAATTTCAATCAAAGATTAGATAATGCATTTTCTATCCTAATGTAAATAATATGTATGACAGTATGTGATTGTCTATTTCAGCCAAAACTCTCATTGATTATATTTATATATACCTGCTTGTTTCATCCTGTTACGTATAACTCATTCTTCAATTCTTCTTCCAGTTTTGGAGCTACTATTCACTCACCAAATACATTACAGTTTTATCGACAACTGGAACAAAACAACTCCCAATTATACCCTCTACTTCAAGATCAAACACATGTGAAGTTGAGGTCACACATGATATCAGTGATGGCTCAGACAAGAACTTGAGTAATGCCACTAGAAGATCTTCATCTGGAGAAGAACTGAGCAATCGGACATTATCTTTGTGTGGCAGCATGTCTGCCTTGTGTGGAACTTTGCTCTCAATGCCATGTGATGTGGCACGTACCAGAATTGTGGCACAAAGCACCAAGAAAGTAATTATTTCAATTTACATAGATATACTAAGCTATGAGAATGTTGCATTATGTAGTTTCCATATTTATTGAGTTCATTTTTATTATTTACCTTAATGGTCATTCAGTTTATTTGAATGCTTAAAATGTGTTTAGTAGCTGGACTCTCATTTCTCCCAATCAGTTTATTATTATTCAGTTCACTGAGCATGATCTTGAATGTTGTCATCTTTAATCAATCATCAGACTTTAATGAATAAAATCATTATTTCATAATAATACAATTCTCTTTATTCTTCCTTAATTAATGTTAATATGTTTTAAGGTACCAAATTCTGTAAAGTTTGACTCTAATTTTTAGCGCATTTTCTCATTTATGAAAAAAATGCACTATTGTGCTTGCCATGTCCGTCTGTCTGTCCGTCCGTGACCTCAAGTTTTCGTCGATGAGAAAATGCGCTCTCTGTCACTCACTGCAGTTAGTACTGAGTTATATTTTTATTATCTTTATCTATTCATTTTTACCATCTACCTATCATTATATGACAGGTTAAATAAGCCTATTTTTCAGTACTCCGGCCTGCTGGATGTGCTGTGGCAGATGCCTCGGCAGGAGGGGCTCAGGAGTCTTTGGCGGGGACTGCTCCCCACCCTCGCCTCGAGCGTCCCCAGCTCTGCTATACAGTTCCCCATCTATACCTCCCTCATGCGATACACCCAGGGGCATGACTCAGCTCTGAGTGAGTTCTTTATGAGCTCTGCTAGTGGCATGACTCAGCTCTGAGTGAGTCCTTTATAAGCTCTGCCAGGGGCATGACTCAGCTCTGAGTGAGTTCTTTATAAGCTCTGCCAGGGGCATGACTCAGCTCTGAGTGAGTTCTTTATGAGCTCTGCTAGTGGCATGACTCAGCTCTGAGTGAGTTCTTTATAAGCTCTGCCAGGGGCATGACTCAGCTCTGAGTGAGTTCTTTATAAGCTCTGCCAGGGGCATGACTCAGCTCTGAGTGAGTCCTTTATAAGCTCTGCCAGGGGCATGACTCAGCTCTGAATGAGTTCTTTATCTGTCTCTTATACACATCTAGATGTGTATAAGAGACAGACTCAGCTCTGAGTGAGTTCTTTATAAGCTCTGCCAGGGGCATGACTCAGCTCTGAGTGAGTTCTTTATAAGCTCTGCCAGGGGCATGACTCAGCTCTGAGTGAGTCCTTTATAAACTCTGCTAATTAATTAACTGTCATTATTGCTGCCTATCTAGTAAATATTTCGCCATGTCCAATCAATATTGTTGCTCATGCAATCATTATTTTTGCCGATGCAATCATCACTGTTGCTGATGCGATCCTTTTTACTGCTAAAGCAATCGTTAATTCTGCCAAAGCAATCACTATTCCTTCGAACAATAGCATCAAGTGTGCCCTCAAATGTAAGGTAGCGCGGCAGCGTTCCAGGATTTGGCTTAGCTACCACATTTACTAACATTGCTCCCATTACAATCTTTGCTCGCAACAATAGCACCATTACTAGTATATTTTGCCCCCAGACGTAGCGTGGCGCAGCAGCCTGTGTGTTAGCGTTCCGGGAGTTGTCTTAACTACCACATTTACTAACATTCTTGGTAATTTTGAAAAAAATTGCTCATATTATAATCTTTGCTCGTAAGAATAGCACCATTACTAGTATATTTTTCCCCCAGATGTAGCGTGGCGCAGCAGCCTGTGCGGCAGTGTTGCGGGACTGGCGGCTAAGCTGCTCGTGTATCCCCTGGACCTGCTGAAGAAACGCTCGCAGATGCGTGGTGCTGAGAACCTCAGGCACACCTATGGCAAAGTCAGCCATTTGCGCATAAAATTCAGTGAACTAATTACTAATAATAAAGTTTTTGATAATAATAACGTTCCTGATAATAATTATAACGCTTTAAAAACTGTGTGATTATATAATATAACGCTTAAGCTCATTCACATTAGGCATTCATATGGCAAAGTCAGCTACTTGCTTGTAACATTGAGTGAATCAATTAGTAATAATAAAGTTCTTGATAATAATTATAACGCTTTAAAAACTGTGTGATGACGGATATGTGGCGCTGAGCACCTCAGGCACACTTATGGCAAAGTCAGCCACTTGCTCGTAACATTTAGCAAACTAATTAGTAATAATAAAGTTCTTGATAATGATAACGTTTCTGATAATAATTGTAATGCTTTAATAACCATGTGATGATCTGCAGCGCTGAGCACATCAGGCATTCACACTGCAAAACCAGCCACTTGCTCGTAACATTTAGCAAACCAATTATAAATAATAAAGTTATTGATAATAATTATATTCATGATAATAATTATAACGCTTTAATAACTGTGATGATATGTGGCGCTGAGCACATCATGCATTCACACGGCAAAGTCAGCCATTCGTGCTTAATAGGCCCCCAAACCAAATAATAATAGTAAAGTTCATGATAATAACATTATTAATAATAATAATAATTCAAACATTATTATATATTATAAAATTATAACATAATGTGGATGTTGAGCACCTCTACGCATCCAAGTCAGCCCTCCACTCCCGGACTTGACATCTGGCAAACCGATCAATAACAATTACATTGTTATAACCCTGTGTTGAAAACGTGTTGTGGTTGTAGACAAGTCACGTTATAATGACCCGGTATTATTGAGATTTTTTGGTTATCAGCCATTCATCTTTGAATTCTACTTCACCAATGGTTAGCAAACGTCAACACATATATATGAAGTGCATTAAATTTGATGGTGTTTTCTTCATTTTGTTTTTCTATTTATTTGCACTAAAATCATAGCTTATTTGCTTACTTGCTTTTTCTCAGGCTAATTGTGACAGAATTGTTCCTTCCGAATTCTAATTGTCTAACATTACTGCACAAATGAATCATAATTAAGTTGTCAAAACTCTTTGCATTGTGGAGGAATGAAAGGCTTGCTCAACCACAGTTGTCTTCAATATTTTCTTACTGATTCTGCCATTCAAATTATATTTATAAATACCGTAATAAGCTAGACATCTGGTAGTGGTAGGGACAGGATGAGGGGGCTGCATGGTTGCTGATAATTATTGGCATAACTTTCTTTAGCTTAGTTGGAACATTATTTGCTTGTAAAATCTCACCGTAAGATGCTAAGCCTCTGGTTAGGGAACGGGGGCCATACTTTCATAACTGGCTAAGTGATCGTAAGTACTTATGCTCTATTTTCCTGTCTATGATTGGTGGATTTGGCTTGAAAGGCCGTCAATGATTTGCTGATGAACTTATGATCTCTTAACTTTTTTTTTAAAGTATAGTCCCCGGACTGCCTGGTTGTTGATAATTATTGATATATCATATTTATCGATATTTTATTAATTGGTACATAATTTGCAGGTGATATCGTACCGCAACACGCTGGATATCTGCCGGAGCATATGGCGGGAGGAGGGACTGCGTGGCTGGTACAAAGGACTGTGGCCTGCGCTGGTGAAAAGCGCCGTCGTGTCGGCCGTGTCCTTTACAGCCTTTGAGATGTGCTGCCGTGCTCTCCTCTTCACACATTCTCACTGGAAAATAAGAGATAACTATGATAAAATAATAAAAGATAACAAGGAATAGGAGGACTCGAACAGCCTCAGAATCTTCGGATGTATGGAATCTCAGCCAATCACCTTTGACCCTCGCAGACCCTGGACTCCGTCTTGAAGCGTGTTAAAAAATATCAAAGTTATACGGCACGTGAACCGTGTGAAACAAGATACATCGTACCATGTACAAGATACGTTGTGTATGTCATGTGATACCAAGAAATACTATACATAAGCTGTGTTAGGACATACCAAGTAATAGAATATAGAGGAAGTAAAGTACTTTCAGGACATCAGGAAATAAGTTCCTTGTCATGCACTGTTGACTTAAACTCAGAATGACAGGGTCTGACAGCGATTCTGTGACTTTCTGCAACAGATACAGTCATAGAACGGTCAGATATAATACTGTTGCCTCTTGAATCATTGACTTGCACACTGTTGCCTCTTGAATCATTGACTTGCACACTGTTGCCTCTGACTCACTGTTGACAAATCTCCCACTGCTGGATGAGTCAGCACTCACATTAAAAGTAAATCTTGGATTTGTGGAATTATCTAATCGATTCTCTATCTTTGGTGCATAATCTGGGATCTGCTATATCACGTTACGAGAAGTTGAGTGTGCAAGACCTTTTAAGCCCATAGAATCTAGTTGTAAATAATCCTTGAAGGATTTCATTAAGCTGCAAGGCCTGGGATTCATTGCGTTATAATTAAAAAATAAATTCATAAAGTCTGCAAGATCCTGAATTTCCAGCGTTAAAATTCTATATGAAATCCAATGAGTGTGCAAGATCTTGAATTTCCAGCATGACCATTCTAGGAGAAATTCGTTGAGTGTGCAAGATCTTTGATTTACAGACAATTCTATAAGAAATTCATTGAGTGTGCAAGATCTTGGATTTACATCGTTTACCCCCTGTGCCATCTCGCCCTTGTCGCGGGAGGGGGGCTTGCGTGTCTCAATGAGACCCGAGGCTGTGCGGTCTCAGATACAATCATGGCCGAGTGGCTCGGGTGGAGAGTCCAGACTAACTGAGATGGCAAAACTCTCTTCTCGTGACCCCTTGTTGGATGCTATTAACTTGGGTGCCTGCTCTGCATACCAAACGAAAGAAAAAACGTGGACACTGAAATGAACTCTTCTCGTGCTTCTTGTCTCTGATAATCTGGCGTCAACATAGACCTCCAAAATTGAACCAACTACGACATCACGAAAGAACTTCTATTCTCGACTTCCGTGAGTCAGAAGAGTCACTGCACCGATGGACATCATGATGGCGAAAGAACCTATGAACCGAGCAGAAACCTAGGATATTGAGGTGTATACAAAAAATTTAAAAAGAGCAAGCTGAATGGATATTCACCCACCCTGAAGACTAAGTCTCTTAGATAAAAATTTGAACGAACTACAACCCAAGCAAAACAGGAAGTTCTTTATGATGTCATCCAACGACGGCCTCCACAGGACGTTGAATAGGGCCACATCACGGTGTTATTTTAATAATGGCCAATTGAGAAGTAGAAAAACATAGAAGGGCGAACTATCTATAAGCACTGAGACTAGCTATGGAGCGCTCCTTGTTGAGGTTGCAAACTTTGAACAGCCGCTAAGCCATCACCACCATAATGATAAAGACTTTAGCCGATGTGCCAGTTTGAGCTGCAGCACAAAAATCGCAATAAGACTCTGTACGATATGTTACCCTATTAGCTGTATGCGCTGCCAAGTGCTACTTTGTCCCGATGCCTTTATGTCCCGCGCCACTTACAAGTGCTAGGGCTTCAGCCTTGGTCCTGCCGCCTAACTACCCTGCCTTCACCCAGTCAAGTGTGTCTGTTGCAAGGTGTGCCAGCTCCAACCTATGTTTCTACAAAATGGAAGAAAAAATGATAGACAAAGATTGCATGAGCTATTGAGAAGCTAGGTGAATGGTAAGAAGCCGAAGCCAATACAGCAGCCCTTGGATTACCTAGCCACAGAATACTGACAAATCAACTATTTCGAATGGTGAACCTTCATGGAGGAAGCTTATTTGCCGAAATACTACACCTAAATTTGTGCCAAAAATGTCATACAACCTCCTTGAAGCAATGCAGCATTGAAACGGATGTAAAGCAACACCTCTCATTTGCTCCAGACCTCACAAATCAAAACCCAAGTCGCAGCTACACGGCCAGCGCCACCAAAGCGGACATGCTACGGCCGAGGAGGGACCTCGCAAAGAAAAAGTGACGAAAACGCCAAGCAGTGACATAGCATATAGAATACGCTCGCTGGAACAGGTTAACTATGTACCTGACCTCTGAGCAGTAATGTATTCAACTAATAACCCATCCCTCAGCACTCCTCCCCTCCCTGTGGTGGAGATGCTCTCGTGGGCTGTAAAAGATGTGGAGGAAGTACATGCTACTTGATGAAGGTATAGGGGGGGGGGAGGTCTTAAAGTGAGCGGGAGGATCACATCTCTGTTGTGGCCTTCAAGCGAGAGGACCACATCTCTGTTGTTGCCTTCGAGCGAGAGGACCACATCTCTGTTGTGGTCTTAAAGCGAGAGGACCACATCTCTGTTGTGGCCTTCAAGCGAGAGGACCACTTCTCTGTTCTGGTCTTAAAGCGAGAGGACCATATCTCTGTTGTGGTCTAGCGAGAGGACCACATCTCTGTTGTGGCCTTCAAGCGAGAGGACCACATCTCTGTTGTGGCCTTCAAGCGAGAGGACCACATCTCTGTTGTGGCCTTCAAGCGAGAGGACCACAACTATGTTGTGGCCTTCGAGCTAGTAAAGCCTGGTGATGCCGATTATAGTCATATGTATAATCAGCCATAAGTGCCTAGTGTTAAGAAATCCTCCGTTCACTGATTTTTGCATATTTTCATTCTGTATTCTCGTTAATGCTTTATGCTGCGGAATAATTTTGGCTTCTTTTTGAACTTTCGTTTTAGTTTTTAATTTAGCACAACACAGAAGCATTGCAAGGAATCTGATCTACTTGATATGTTGAAACAGCGTCGAAGTGAGTCGTTCCTATGTGTTCTGTTTGTCGAAGATCTCAGCACATGCGATGGTTCCACCTCGTAACATCGTTACGTTAAATGTGCAATTATTATTATAATTATTTTAGTTTTAATGGCCGCATTTATTATCAGATGAATTGTCTTCCATAAAAGTCCTCATTTATTCAATTCTGTGACTTGCCATGCTATACACTGGTAACAATTAAATTAGAATACACTCTGGAAATAAGCACTGATAGACCCTTTTGCCGGGTCAAACCGTGTAAGATGACTCGCATAAAGCCAAAGAGGGCATCGCTATTAGGACAAAGTTTCCATATTTATCGTAGTGTTGACTCCAATATTCTTCTTTCGTGACTACTTTTTTTGCTTTTCTGCCAGCATATGAAAATATTCTTGCATAAAAATTGGCTTTACTTTCACGCTTACTACGTTTCTCTCTTAAAAGAGAAAACACTTTCTAGATTTTGTTTCTATGCCACTCTTTAAATAAGAAGATATATTTAAGATTTATTTTCGAAGTTTTCATGATATATGCCTTTTTTCATTCATTAATAAAGTTTTGAGATTTTTATATCAAGTTCTTCCTGAGCATCTTGTTTGCCGCACGGAAGTGATTGACGTCACTAAGGGGAAAGCGGTTGCCAACTTGGAAAATTATTTAATTTTTTTACTCGAATTTTTCAAATTTATGCAGGCAGTAACTTGAATTTTTAGTTAGATACATTCTAATTTGTTGATAGATGCTCAAACATTAGCAGAAATCACTACTAAATATTATTACTGGCGGTAAAGTTGTAACAGATTCGAGATTCAACTAAATTATCTACCAAGTTGGCAACCCTGCACCGTCCCCTCGGCTCCGTATGGTCATTGGCTGAAATTCTGGTCGTAATTGTTGTCGACGACTGCTCTTCGAAAATAGTACAAATGCCATGTATAACTTGACGGTTAGTCTGGACCATACGACTGTTCTTTATAAATTCTCCGTACAACTGCTCTATACCTACAACTAAATTTCTCTAGCTGCATAGATTATCAATCAGTCTGATCAGCAGAAAAAAGACGACAGCTTTTGTATGTCATTATGAAATAATAGCCAATAGCACGTCTCACCTAATTAGCTAGCTATCATAGTGAAATTGCCTTTTGAAAAACCATTGATGAAAAATAAGCATTTGGGGCGTTGTTTGGAACGCTCCTCAACAGACATGTTGGGGGTTAGACGAGGCGATGGAAGCTGAGCAGTTAAGATAGGTATAGGTTGGTGGGTGGATATAGTATAGGTTCGTGCTTGGATAGATAGTTTGGTGGGTGTTGAGGGAGTTTGTTGGATGTTGAGGTAGGTTGTTAGTTGTTAAGGTAGGTTGTTAGTTGTTAAGGTAGGTTGTTAGTTGTTAAGGTAGGTTGTTAGTTGTTAAGGTAGTTTGTTAGTTGTTAAGGTAGGTTGTTAGTTGTTAAGGTAGGTTGTTAGTTGGGAAGGTAGTATGTTGGTGTTTGTCGAGGTAGGTTGCAGGGTAAGAAGACAGGTTCCGCCAACTAGAACTTCCAACACTATCAATCTTAGATCCAGAAACTGTGTTAGGTGGCTGGCTTTCATTTCTACATCCCTTGCTTGTATTCAGCTAATAAAATCTTATTTTTTCTAACGAATAGTCAGGAATTTCTCCAAAATTCCAGTGATTATTTTCATCGAGCGACATATTCATAGCTGTGTAGCTTCATTACCGTTATATCTACAGTTATTTACAGGATCTATCATTTTCAACTGAGTTTGGTTTTTTGTCTTGTTTCGAGAATGTCTGGTAGCAGTGCAAATTTCTCAACGTACAGAACATTGTTCGAAAAAACTCGAGCTCTCGACTACACCTTTAGGAAACGCCTTGGCACGCAACTGTGGCATCGACGATCACGTCTCGTAAGACTGGAAAAAACGTGTGAGAATTTGCAAGCTGAACGATTATTAGTAATAAAAGGAATCAATCTTTCCAATTTCAATCAAAAAGAATTTGACAATCCAATACCAGCTCTGAGATTTTCGCCAGTTAATTTGTCAGTGCGCACGTTCTGCTCGTCGCCTTCGTCCAGAAATTCAAGTGATGCAAAAATGATTTTCAAGAAAACTAATAATGACGAATCGGTATCATCTCCGCGCAGTCGAAGCGAGATCGATTTCAATGTTGAACATCCACGTCTGCATGAGCGAGGTGATATGCCATCTCTTGCTTCTTTCCACACTTCTTCCCTGACATCACATAAAAAACTGCCGCTTCCGTTCTCTGAAGAAAATCTATCAGAGTCGGAATTCCGTCCTATGCTGGATCCTTTCCTACAGAGATTTTTAACAAACACTACAAGCACTCGTTCATCTTCGTCGGCTGACGGCGTTGAAGTGGAGCTTTCTAACTGCACGGATATTAATTCTGTATATGAAGTTCTCGAATGCAATATTGACCGGCTCACTATCCACACCGCTTGTTCGGCGATCACAAAACTTTACAGCCTGGTGGGATACGGGCTTATCGACTCAAGCTCCATCACTCGTTCGACGATAGGTCCTGTTGACGTTCCAAACCACCGTGTCATGGAGAAGCTGACGCAAGTGCTGGAGAATAACTTACATTGCTTAGATGACGCTAGCATTGCTCGTCTTTTAGTCCATGTTTCATGTTTATCATTGCCGAATAACTCTATGTTGGTTCACAAAATGTTACAGCGTCTTGTGGCACACGCGGACCAACTTGACTTGGAGTCGCTCACTAGGATTCTCGTCCCTTTGCGGAGTCCGGAGTTGAATTACTTCGTGAAAGGGAAATTTATGCCAAGGCTCATGCAATTGTTGAACATATGCAAGAGCAAGGAAGATTACCTCTTGATCAACTATTGCATTACAAACTCGCGTAAACTTTTACCGCTCTCGTTCGCAAGTCTGCACTCGAAAAAAGTCATGGAGCTTCTCGATTTGGGGGTCATTAGGGCCGAAGATCACGGAATTCTAATAGGTCTAGTTCAATTGATCATATTCACCGGATGTCCTTTCGCCTACCACGATTTGCTGGGCCGAGTAACCTCCTTACTTGCATCCAGAACCACACATTTGGAAACGAATGAGATAATCGAGCTATGTGCCTACTGCCAGCTCAATAAACTAGACCGGCACTTGATGGTGAATCTTTACCGGCAAGCAGCTCTTGCGATGTCCACCGAAAGTGACCCATTGATACAAGGCAACTTATTTCTTTGTCTGTCACCGGAGTGCGCGCAGACTTTGAAGTCAGACATCGTCGAGGTTGTGAAGAAACTTTTGGACGCTCCGCTCTCAAATGCGCATATGCGTGTCGTGTACCTCATACTGCGCTCGCGTATCATCGATGACTTCGATATCATCAACCGCTTCTGGGACAAAGTCCTCTCAGGACTTGAAGAAATTTTGGCACGTGATGAAATCTTCAAGTAAGCTTGGATTAACTCGTAGGTGTTGAATTTTTTTTCTCCAATTTTAGAGCATTGCAATATGATTCCGAATGTTTTTTTACATCTGTTGGCGGTACATGGTTAATTTATAATATCACTTAAGTTAAGAGTACGTTTGCTTTGGAATATATCGCACATTGTTGGCTTACAATTCAAGCTTGATTATCATGGAAAATGAAAGTCCAAATGCGTCAAAATAAGAAAGGTTGTCATTTGTATATTGCTGGGCGGATCGGAGAGGACATAAGAGTTCCTATGTCGTATGATATCCCGCACATTGTAGACATACAAATGAGGCATGACTATAATGTAAGATAAAGTCGTAAATTCAACAATGTTGAAATGTATCATAATAAAAAAGGTCGTAAATTCAACACTGTTGAAATGTATCGTAATAAAAAAGGTCGTAAATTCTACAAAGTTGAAATGTATCATAATAAATAAGGTCGTAAGTTCAAAAATGTTGAAATGTATCATAATAAAAAGGTCGTAAATTCCACAATGTTGAAATATATCATAATAAAAAAGGTCGAAAATTCAATAATGTTGAAATGTACCATAACAAAAAAGGTCGTAAATTCTACAAGTTTTTGTACGTTTCACGTTACGTTTCACGTTACGTTTGTACGTTTCACGTTACGTTTGTACGTTTCACGTTACGTTTGTACGTTTCACGTTACGTTTGTACGTTTCAGAGATGACGCGCTGGGTCGCGACGCGGCGATCGCGCAAGTGCAGCAGCGGTATTTGTACTTCAACCAAAACCTGGGGGGGCAGTATCGCCATAAGGCCTTCGAGCAGCGTATCATTGAGCTCATCAACGGGCAGATGCACTCCGTAGCTGGTAATTAAAGTCATAAATCCATGGATACTTGGTTAAAAACTGGTAATTAATACCATCACTTATTCCGTAGCTGGTAATTAATACCATCAGTTATATGAATACTTCATTAAAAACTGTTAATTAATACCATTAGTTCTATGGATACTTCATTAAAAACTGCTAATTAATACCATCAGTTCTATGGATACTTCATTAATAATTAGTCGTGTGATCGGAACCAAAGCTTTCTAGAAGTCATCAACATCAACTATATGGACTTTATTATTACTAAGTCGTCAACTAAAGAAGAATTTATTATTCAATATTGTGTTCAGAACCAAAACAATAACACGGCACCTTAAGCAGAACAATTGATCATGAAATTTTGACCACGAACACCTGAAGATATTTACTTGAATGAATATTTTCATATTGTCCAATTATGAATCTAGTCATATTGTCAAAATGTATATATTCATATTGTCAAAATGTATATATTCATATTGTTATATTGTCCAAAAAGTAACAACACAATTTTCACCACACCCCTTTGCTGTTCCAAACTGCTTCAGGATGACTTGCACAAAGGGCAAAAATTGCGTCGATATTTAGACAGAATCACTCTCATTTGTCTGAGTGATGATTTTATACCGCATACCCACCCACAGGGTCGATGGTGGGGCCCATGGTGCGTCAATATTTGGACAGAATCACTGTCATTTCTCTGCGTGATGTTTATACCGCATCCCCCTCTCCCCAGGGTCGGTGGTGGGGTGTATGGTGCGTCGATATTTGGACAGAATCACTCTCATTTCTCTGCGTGATGTTTATACCCAGGTTCGATGGTGGGGTGTATGGTGCGTCAATATTTGGACAGTATCACTCATTTCTCTGCGTGATGTTTATACCGCATCCACCTCCCCCCAGGGTCGATAGTGGGGCGTATGGTGCGTATGGGGAGCTTCGTGCTTGCGTACAGTGACGCCGGCGCCCTCCCCGCCCCCCTAGTGGCCTCCCTCCTCTCTGTCGCCCCCCGTCTCAACGTCAAGGACCTGCAGCTCCTAACCCGCGGTCTGCAGGTAACCTGCTGCTCCTGACCCGCGGTCTGCAGGTAACCTGTAGCTCCTGAGCCGCGGTCTGCAGGTAACCTGCAGCTCCTGACCCGCGGTCTGCAGGTAACCTGCAGCTCCTAGTTTGAATATATATCCTTAGTATGTGTTTCGTACGTAGCAGTCGCAGGCCACGCTGGACCAGCGTCTGTATTTCGCCGCCTTATTAATTATGTTAGTATTGATTATTGATTATTCTAATTATTATTACTTTATTTCTGTTAATTCTTAATAATTGAGGAGTAAAGATGAGTAATAAAAGTCTACTAAATTGTGATGGAAATTGATTCCATTTGTAAATCTATATACGAAATGGTAACGTATAGATATCTTTGCATTATTTTTAAAATACGTTAATTCTGCTGCATGTTATGACGATGCACTATGGTACGTCACCGGCAATGCAGTGCATCACACGTCACTGACGATGCGTCACACGTCACTGACGATGCGTCACACGTCACTGACGATGCGTCACACGTCACTGACGATGCGTCACACGTCACTACGTCACTGACGACGCGTAACGTCACTGACGACGCGTAACGTCACTGACGATGCGTCACACGTCACTGACGATGCTGTACACGTCACTGACGATGCTGTACACGTCACTGACGATGCGTCACACGTCACTGACGATGCTGTACGTCACTGACGATGCTATACACGTCTCTTATATCACAGGTATCACAGGCGTTCAACAGAGGCTGCTATAACGTGGGCTACGTCAGCAAGATGACCTCCCTCGCACACGCCCTCGCCGCCTGCTGCCATCGTCTCGCCCTCGTCAGTTGTTTACCCTCGGCCTTCCCTCGTTTCCCTTTCTTTGCCATGTTTCTTTAATTCTCCCTCATTTTCATTTTCTTTGTCGTATTTCTTTAGTCCATGTTTAAAAAAATCTTTACCCTCGGCCTTTCCTCATTCTCATTTTTCATTTCTTTGCCATGTTTCTTTAATTCTTGTTTAAAAAAATCTTTACCCTCGGCCTTCCCTCATTCTCCTTTTCTTTGCCATGTTTCTTTAGCTCATGTTTAAAAAATCTTTAGCCTTGGTCCTTCCATAGTTTTACCTTTCTTCGCCATGTTTCTTTGGAAAAAGTTCAAGAATCGGCATTCTTGAAATATCTAGTTTCTACAGGCCATGGGCCTGTTTCTTCAATGCCGACACTTCGATTCTTCTATTCTATTCTTCTATTCTATTCTTCTTTAGTTCATGTTTAAAAAAAATCTTTAGCCCCGGCCTTCTCTCGTTCTCACTTTCTTTGTCGTATTTCTTTAGTTCGTGTTTTAAAAAAATTATCTTTAGCCTCGGTCTTCCCTCATTTCCCTTTCTTTGCCGAATTTCTTTAGTTCACCATTGAAAAAATCTTTAGCCTCGGCTTTTCCTCATTCTCATTTTCTTTGCCATATTTCTTTAGTTCCTGTTTAAAAAAATCTTTAGCCTCGGTCTGTCCTCGTTCTCATTTTCTTTGCTGCATTTCTTTAGTTCATGTTTAAAAAAAAAATTAAGCCTCGGCCTTCCCTCGTTCTCATTTTCTTTGCCATGTTTCTTTAGTTCATGTTTAAAAAAATCTTTAATAGCCTCGGCCCCTTATTTCCCTTTTTCTTTGCCGTATTTCTTTAGTTCATGTTTAAAAAAAATTTTTTTAGCTTCTGCCTTTCTTCATTTTCTTTGCCATGTTTCTTTAGTTCATGTTTAAAAAAATCTTTAGCCTCGGCCTTTCCTTATTCATATTTTGTTTGAAATATTTCTTTAATTTACGTTTAAAAAAGGAAGTGATGGATTGATTGAAGTTGTAGTTTCATTTTAGACTTACACTATCTTTTCACTTGCGTTCTCCTGGCGATTTATGACAATAAGCTCATACAAATAATCTCAGAGTTTCTTTTTATACTTAAACATTCGGATTTATACATTGAAACCACCTTTGCAAAATGTATGGATGAGTCCGATTTTGTAAGCCTTATATAAATTTGTATATGTGCCTCAATTTGTATATGAGCGTCATGAATTTAACTTCTAAAATTCTTATCCGTTAAGTTCCAGAGTCACGTTCCTTCAGTTCACTGTACTACATTTAAACCTTGCAGCTGAACGCAAGTGTAATGAATAATGCAAACATTGCACCTGAGTGCTGATGTAATACGTAAAATTTGCAGCTGACTACAGATGTGATATTTCATCAATATTCACGTAAACATTGCAGCTAATTACATATGTAATATATAATTAATAATTCACGTAGACATTACAGCTGATTACAGGTTAAATATTTCAATAATATTTCACATTAACATTGCAGCTGATTACATTTCATTAATGATTAACATAAAAATTACAGCTGATTACTGATGTAATAATTCCTTAATAATTCACGTAAACACTGCAGCTGATTGCAGATGTAATACTTCAATTATATTTCACATAAACATTGCAGCTAATAACACATATTATATTTCCAGAAGAGCAGCAGTTTGCAAGACCTCATTCGTGTGACAAGGGCAAGCGCCATCGTTGACGAACTGTTCAGCAAATACAGCGACCACGTCTTGACGAATCCCTTGACAAACTCCTTGTCTTGGACCAAAGGCATTATTCCTACTCCTCTTTCCCCTTATACTTTTAACCCGATAGATCACCCTGCAAAATCCCTTACGTCCCCTTACACTCTTAACTCTACAAATCCCTCTGTTAAACCCTCGTCTTCCTCCCAATTCAGTGGCGTTAGCACGCAACCCCATTTAACCCCCCACCCAAATGATACAATTTATTCCTCCCCTCAACCCCCAGTTTTCAGTGAAGGTTCAAATTTAAATAGTTACGTTACTGCAGAGTCTGTAACGCTTTCTAAAGTAACTCCCATCGTCGCCCAACACCTTTATGAGCTGACGACCAAAGATGCCTTCATCACCGCACAAACTTACGCACGATCTAAATTCTATAATGTCCAGGTATTTACCATCTGAAATCTTATTTTTTTCTCATTATAAACATTTTCAAAGTGTCCAGGTCTATACTTTCAAAAAATTTAAGAGATCGTAAGCTCATCAGCCAATCATTGACGGCCTTTCGAGCAAAATCCACCAATCATAGATAAGAAAATAGAGCGTAAGAACTTACGTTCACTTAGCGAGTTTTGAAAGTATGGCCCCAGGCAGGTAACCTGGACAATCTTGCACCAATCTTGTTTTTGCTCATAAGCAATCTTATTAAATTTATTTGTATTAAACACATCTAAAAAGCCGATGTTCAAAAATAATAATAAGAATGAAATAATTATAATAAAAAAATTATTATTGATGATAACAATGGCAATAATGTTTATGAAAAATAACGGAAATCGTAATTAAAATGATCTGAATGAAGTAATGGAACGATAATAATTAGAATGAAATTATACCACAATAATGGTGAAGGTGAAAATAATAATTTAATCACCATGGAAAGGGTGATTATAATAACAAAATAGCAATATAAATGACAATAGAAAATAATAATATTATTAATACCGTAATGTAATGGTAATAATACCACTTAAAACACAATAGTATGAGTATTAATAATGATAATAATAACAACAAAATAGCAATATAAATGAGAATAGGTAATAATAATATTGTTACTACAGTAATGTAATGGGTAATAATACCAATTAAATCACAATAGTAAGAGTATTAATAATGATAATAATAACAACAAAATAGCAATATTAATGAGAATAGGTATTAATAATATTGTTACTACAGTAATATAATGGGTAATAATACCAATTAAATCACAATAGTAAGAGTATTAATAATGATAATAATAACAACAAAATAGCAATATTAATGAGAATAGGTAATAATAATATTGTTACTACAGTAATGTAATGGGTAATAATACCAATTAAATCACAATAATAAGGGTAATAATAATGATTATAATAACAACAGGTGCTAGACGCGGTGCTGCTGCTCTTGTACCAGGACAGGGCCCGGGTCCAGGGCCTGACGGTGGGCCAAGCGCTGCACTCCACCTTCATGCTGGGCCACGCGCCCCCCTTGCCCCTCCAGGCCATGAGGGCCCTCTCCTCCGTCGTCGCCGGGTGCGCCAGGGGCTTTGGGATGTGGGCTTTGGGGCTTTGTGGCGTGGGTTTTGGGGCTGTGAGGCGTGGGGTTTTGGGGCTTTGAGGCTGAGGCTGTGAGGCGTGGGTTTAGGAGCTTTGAGGCGTGGGTTTTGGGGCTTTGAGGCGTGGGCTTAGGTGATGTGTGGCGGTGGCTTAGGGGCTGTGAGGTGTGGACTTAGGGGCTGTGAGGTGTGGGCTTAGGGGCTGTGAGGTATGGGTTTTGGGGCTGTGGGTTTTGGGGCTGTGAGGCGTGGGTTTTAGGGCTTTGAGGCGTGGGTTTTAGAGCTGTGAGGCGTGGGCTTAGGGGCTTTGAGACGTGGGTTTTGGGGCTTCGAGGCGTGGTCTTTGGGGCTTTGAGGCGTGGGCTTTGGAGCTTTGAGGCGTCGGTTTTGGGGCTTTGACCCGTGGGTTTTGGGGCTTTGAGGCTTGGGTTTTAGGGCTTTGAGACGTGGGCTTTGGGGCTTTGAGACGTGGGCTTTGGGGCTGAGAGGCGTGGGCTTTTGGAGCTGTGTGGCGTGGGCTTAGGGGCTGTGAGGTGTGGGCTTAGGGGCTGTGAGGCGTGGGGGTTGGGGCTGTGAGGCGTGGGTTTTGGGGCTGGGAGGCGTCGGTTTTGGGGCTTTGAGGCGTGGGCTTAGGGGCTGTGAGGCGTGGGTTTTGGAGCTGTGAGGCGTCTGTTTTGGGGCTTTGAGGCGTGAGTTTTGTGGCTGTGAGGCGTGGGTTTTGGGGCTTTGAGGCGTGGGTTTTGAGGCTATGATACGTTGGTTTTGGGGCTGGGATGCGTTGGTTTTGGGGCTGTGAGGCGTGGGTTTTGGGGCTGTGAAGCGTCGGTTTTGGGGCTGTGAAGCGTCGGTTTTGGGGCTTTGAGGCGTGCGCTTAGGGGTTTTGGGGCTTTGAGGCGTGGGTTTTGGGCTTTGCGGCTTGGGGCTTTGGGGCTGTGAGGTGTGGGCTTTGGGGCTGTGAGGCGTGGGTTTTGGGGCTTTGAGGCGTTGGTTTGGGGCTGTCAGGCGTGTGCTTTGGGGCTTTGGGGCTGTGAGGCGTCGGTTTTGGGGCTTTGAGGAGTGGGTTTTGGGGCTTGATGGGTTTACCATGGGCTGGATGGTGTGTGCTTGGAGGCTTTTGGACAAAATTTTTTTCTTCTAATTGTTAGGGTCTGAGTTTGGCGATGTTTTGGCTTGATTCTTTAGTAATGAATTAATTTTGAATGCATGCCGTGAATTTATGAATTAATAGTGAATGGATGGTGAATTTATGAATTGTATCTTGTATGCATGACTTGAATTAATAAATTGTTACAGGGACCTGAGTTCGATGCACGGCCTGCAGCTGCTGAACGCTGTCGTGGCGCTGTCGTTCTACCAGTCGCTGACGGCGCCCCTCATCAGGAAGGTGTTCAACGTGGCCTTCATGGACCTGCTCGACAGGGAGATGCAGACCTGCATGTCTAAAGTGGGTCAAAAGGGCGGCCTGTATGTCTAAAGTGGGTCAAAAGGGCGGGTTGTATGTCTAAAGTGGGTCAAAAGGACGGCCTGTATATCTAAAGTGGGACAAAAGGGCGGGTTGTATGTCTAAAATGGGTCAAAAGGGCGGCCTGTATGTCTAAAGTGGGACAAAAGGGCGGGTTGTATGTCTAAAGTGGGTCAAAAGGGCGGCCTGTATGTCTAAAGTGGGTCAAAAGGCGGCCTGTATGTCTAAAGTGGGTCAAAAGGCGGCCTGTATGTCTAAAGTGGGTCTAAAGGGCGGCCTGTATGTCTAAAGTGGGTCAAAAGGGCGGCCTGTATGTCTAAAGTGGGACAAAAGGGCGGCCTGTATGTCTAAAGTGGGACAAAAGGGTGGGTTGTATGTCTAAAGTGGGACAAAAAGGGCGGGTTGTATGTCTAAAGTGGGTCAAAAGGGCGGCCTGAATGTCTAAAGTGGGTCAAAAGGACAGCCTGTATATCTAAAGTGGGTCAAAAGATCGGCCTGTATGTTTAAAGTGGGTCAAAAGAACGGCCTGTACGTCTAAAATACTCCTTTCAGCTCAATTGATCAGTATTGGATGTCATTTTATGTCTTGATAAAGGGTTATTATTAAAAAATTCTATTTGTGTTCTCTTTCTATTAATTTATGCTTCGTTTTTTGTCCGCCAACTCGTCATCTTGCAGACGTTCTACCCCCGGCAAGTGCGCAGGCTGCTGATGGAGGTGAACCGCAGCGTGTGTATTGACCACCCTGAGACTCGCGTGCCGTGGTTCCATGACCAGTACTGCAGCGACCACATGCAGACCGGTCAGTTTAATGGTCTAGTTTCCTATTGGTTGATATTATTGATGGTCTAGTTTCCTATTGGTTGATATTATTGATGGTCTAGTTTCCTATTGGTTGATATTATTGATGGTCTAGTTTCCTATTGGTTGATGTTATTGATGGTCTAGTTTTCTATTGCTTGATTTTATTGATGGTCTAGTTTCCTATTGGTTGATGTTATTGATGGTCTAGTTTTTTCCTATTGGTTGATATTATTGATGGTCTAGTTTCCTTCCTATTGGTTGATATTATTGATGGTCTAGTTTCCTATTGGTTGATCTAGCAAATATTGACCACCCCGAGACTCGCGTGCCGTGGTTCCGTGACCAATACTGCAGCGACTACATGCAGACCGGTCTGTTTAATGGTCTTGTTTCTTATTGGTTGATATTATTTATCTAGAAAACATTGACCACCCCGAGATACGCGTGCCTCATGTAGCATACACAATTTATCTTGATCGGTATAATATTTAGTTGTTATTAAGACGAATCATGTTAATTATATGATTTATTCAGCTATTAACTATCTAAGTCAGTTCCCTATTGACTAATTAAAGTCAACTTTCCTCTTGATTAGGATCTTTAACAAATATCGACCGTCCCGATCCGAACGAGTAATTTTTTGACTGTACTGATAAAGACTAAATAGGTTCGTTTGTTCGTTAAAGTTTCAAGTAAACATCATTCCGCTAACAGTCGAGGCGATAAGGGTTGCCTATTTAAATAGTACCGATCGCTAAAAATTATTTGCTGTCTAAATTTTACAGATTAATTTGTTCTAATCAAGGTTGATTGTTCCTATAATTGGGATTGTTTCTTTTTGCAATTAGGATTGAATGTAAGGATTATTCATTTTTCTAATTAGGCTTAATTTTTAGCGCATTTTCTCATTTATGGAAAAAATGCACTATTGTGCTCGCCATGTCCGTCTGTCCGTCCGTGACTTCACGTTTTCGTCGACGAGAAAATGCGCTCTCTGTCTCTCACTGCAGTGAGTACTGTGTTATAATTTTTCCTAATTTGGCGATTTTTTTCTTGTAATGACTGTTGTTGCAATTATTGTTCATTATTGTTCTAATTGTACAGCATGTCACCGACATGACGGGTTCAGTGGGGAGGTGCGTGACGTGCTCTCAAGGGTGCTGGGAGGCAAGAGCTGCTTCAGCCCCAACCTCTACTCCCCTTACTACTACCACATGGGTCAGACATCACCTTTTTTTATGTGGCCAATAAGTTGTAGTTATTTAATTATAACCTCTACTCCCCTTACTACTACCACATGGGTCAGACATCACTTTTTTTATGTGGCCAATAAGTTGAAGTTTTTTTAAACCCAAAGTATAATGTATAGGATAAAGTAAAAGTTACTGAAAGCCTGAGTCAAAAATGGTTGACACTCTACCTAATTTCCAAAGATAGTAAAATGTTGTTAAATGTCTTTTCCAACCAAATAAACGATAAATTTCGTTGACTCATCTGTTAAGATACGCCTGAACAGAGGTTTTGGTCTCGGATAAATATTATAGAGGTTTAGATTCATAGTAACTGGGTTCCTTAGTTCGTTAAAGGCGCATACGTGTTTTGAGCAACAATTTATTTTGGTCGTTTCCAGTCAATAAGTGGGCTTTAAAAGGCATGTTATGATCAAAGATAATCAGCGAACAGCATAGAAGAGCAGCATCGTAATTAGGACGGTAAAGGCCGAAAATTGTCCAACTGAATTGAGTTAGCCAATCACTGTTAATGGGCCAGTACTGGCGGTCAGTATACCTTTCAAATGCCGCAACTAAGTATCACGCTAATGGCTGCGTGTGAAGGGTTAACTAGGACCTCCCGTGGCCAGTAGCGCCTATACACGAGGCCAATAGCACGGTAAATAGTGGCGGATAGTATTTGAAAGTTGCACTGGCCGCCACTATTGTCCCCGTGTACAAGCACACTCTGGGTTAAAGTAGTTCCTGCTTAATTTACTTCATATTAGGTAGTGTACTTTTATTTTCCTTTACTTTACTACTGTCGCTTATACTTTTCTTACACGACTTCTCGTCACATTTTCTTTTTTTTATACTCTTATTGCACGACTTCTCATGAAATTTCTTTTGGAATACCTGGAATATTCATACTCTAACAATATTTTTATCACTCTCTTGATATTTTATCGAGAAATATTTTGTAAAATGTGTGGTTCTTGAACCTTTACACCCAATTTACCCATAGTGCTCGTCAGTTGTCAGTCATGGAATTGTTGGTTTTGGTACTCTATTGTATTATCAACTTTCATCTCTTGTGCTGAAATTATTTCACGTCAATTGCAGATTTCAGTTTTGTGTTGGATGACAAAGGCAACGCGGTGCCACCGGCAGAGCAGCCTTCCCCGCTGCACCCCCGCACCCCGGCTGTGCTAACCCCACTGCCTCCAGGATACTCCAGGTCGCTCTCCATTTTTTCATTTTAAAATAATTTTCTTTTATTTTAGTGTTACTTCACCATTAATTCGATTTATTTGAACTAGTTTTTTATGATTCGACATAATATTTGAAAGAGCAATGCTATTAATTTGTACACTAATGGATTTAATTCTAATTAAAGTCATCCCTCCATGCTCAGACATTGCATTCTCTTGCACAACAAGTCCCACTTCGTTCAGCGCCAGAGCACCGACGATGCAGGCACAATGACGATCGCTGGGCAACTGAACGGCGAGCAACAGATGAAGCAACGACACCTCGAGGTTCTTGGCTATGACGTCATCAATGTGTCGCGTCATGAATGGCAGGCAATGGCGCTAAGCACCAACAATAGCAAACAGGCTTACCTCAACGACAAAATATATTCGGGCAGGAGATAAGGGGAACTGATTAAGGGACGCCATTTTTATGAACGCCATAGACGTTCTTGATTCTTGTATAGAGTAATTCAATCTGATCATGGATTAACTGATACTAGGTAGTTATGTCCGACGTAGCAGTCCCAGGTCACGCTGAAGTGCCGTCTAAAGCCCGGTTTACACGCTCAGTTTTACACAACGATTTGTCTGCGCAGTTCTAATCGTTGCAGACAAAACGTTGCGTGTGGACGGAAAAACTGCGCAGTTTTGGAGCCGGCGGGAAAACTGCGCAGTTCCATCGAAATCTGAGCTACCGAGCATAGATTTCGATGAACTGCGCAGACAAGTCGGAACGTGTGGACGGTAGCACAGTTTTCCGATTCGATTTGTGCTCAGTTTCAATGATTCTGGCGACCATGGCGGACCTGTGTATCAAGTTTTATCGAGCTACGTTCATTACTTCGGGAGATATTCCATGCTCGCCGAATTTGGGGAGACCGTCCGTAAAATTTGTCCGAGACGTCTCCATGGCGAGATCGCGCAAAACTGAGCAAACTACTCAGATAAGTCGGTACCGTGTGGACGCTCTAAAAAGTGCAACGATTTCATTCCGACTTAAAACTGCGCAGACTAATCGTTGTGAAAACTGAGCGTGTGGACCGGGCTTTAAATATCTTCTGGGTATCGTATGAAAAACATCGTATCGGCCCTGGATATCGTATGAAAAATCGATCAAATTAGTGATCTTTTTTCTCATTCGTACTGAGGATTAGAACTCTTTTTATTCCCTCTATGGAAGTTAATGTAAAGTGTATGCCAATCTTGAAGAGTAGCGTCAGTCACTGAAGACGCGTCAACCTCAGGTTTTGGTCGATTCACAAGAATCCTCTGGGAATGCAGTGGATGTATAAAATTCTATTGAAATATTATGTACACTAAGCTGTGTAATAAATATATTTTTTAACTCTATTTGTTATTTTTCACCTCAACTGTCTAGAAATTTGACGGAAATGGTTATCAAAAGCGTATTTCTGCAATGGGCAAGTTTACTTTGGTCCGTCGTATATTTCAACGAACGCAGATGTTTATCAAATCACAGAAATATTCTGGTCATCGGTGACACACGCAAATTTTTTTTATGTACCCGTAAATGCTAGCGAATATTTAGTTTAGTTAGTTATCGAATAACTGGTACTATAAATACTTGTCTCGTATGCAGGAAATGGATTAAGAGTTTAATACATTTGATCTAAATTAATATTAAGACTCATCACACTGAGTATGATTTGTTCGCATATCGGAAAAGCACTTGAATTATAGCCATTCCATTCCAACGCGTATGCCAGACCATATGTGCTTCTACCTGTACTCCACCCAAATGCCAGCCTTATATGAGTGCCTCAACTGTCCGTGGGTCATAGAGTCCGTTCAGTCCGTTGGCGTAGGAACCCGTAATACGTTCCAGGCGCCGTACCATCGAAAGTAGTTAAACTTCTTCTGCAATTCCCTGATAACTTTTCGTGCCCTTCTTGTACTTTGGCCGGTACGTGTACTTTAGCAAGTTTTTAATGTACCACCCCAGATTAATAAATTCAATATTAAAGACAGTAGCTTATCGTTCAGCTATTATTTATAAACCGAGTGCATTGAATGATCCGTAGACGAGTCTACAATAGACCTTCAGTGGCCACAACTCTCATAATGGTACGTGAGACATTAAGTCTCAATCAATTTGCGATTCGTTAAATTAAGTGCTGCGGAACAACCGACTGTTTTGGTATTACATAGAACAATATCATTGAACAAAAAATACACTTTTTGCATTTATTAATAATGGTACAGCAGCAATTCAAATGTGCATCAAATTGAATATGAATTGAACAATTTTTCGAAGGCGTGCAGAGAAATGTAAACGATGTTTATGATGAAATTTTCATGCTATTGAATACTAATTCTTCCTGCATGATATGTAACGTTTTCCCTCGTCTGATATGAAGTCCTTAACAACAAGTATTTGCCAGGAATGGGCGTATCTGCTACAGACTCCTGCTTGTCCTTCCTGTTCCATGGGCTTGTAAAGTGAACGAAGTTACCAAACGTTCCACAGTCACACTCACACAGAGAGTGAGAGAGAGAGAGAGACTCAGAGTCAAGACTCGAGAACTGTGAAGTCGAGATTCGAGAATCGAGATTCCCCACTCCCCACTCAGTCCCCAGTTGCTGGTTTCCCTTTGTTCTGAGAGGTTGTGTGACTCGTCCGCCGCGATACGCGCTTGAGTTCACCAACGTCAGGTTTAGAAACTCGTGTCTACAAATTACGTGCATCAGTGCAAAATTGTTCAAATTTGAAATTCATCTGTGTGTAAGAGTTATGACTTTGACTGTTTGTTGAAAATGGTGATTTAGATCGAAAAGAATAGTTGCGATTGATAATTATCTCGTTAGTCAATATCTGCTTGTTCGGTTGACTAAGTAAGCATGCTGAAGTTAGCCAGTTTACTAATTTAACTTTTGGGATTGTAGACTAGAAGTTGATAGTTGTTATTAACATTTCGGAAAGGAGTTGACACATATTCCTACTATAGCAGTCGTTGCAACTTGCTAGGGGTCGAAAATCCCTGCAATTTTAGTAGGTATACAGTTTTCCTAGCTAGCCTATTAAATCCTAAATCCATCCGGGCGATCCGGCTAATATTATTCAAGTCAAACTAATTGGTATGATAATTGATGAAATACCCGTTCAAGGCCCGCAATTTACACAGGACTCCCGTCGCATTTACTTCCAATTGTTTTGAAGTATGCGCAGAAAAAGTTTCTCAATTAAGTTCGATTTATCTATAATTAATGTTCAAACTTCAATATTCATTAGAACTCTCCTCTCCTAGTTAGGCTAGTTTTGCAATGCCCTACTACACTATAAATAAATAGTAGGTAACCTATATATACTACTATAAATGACATCCGCCAACTATAAATAAAGTTTCAGGTCCAGGTATTATCGCGACAAGATATGTATTCTGGATACGCGCCCCAACAGCCCCTAATCCCCTATACTCGTTTATTGCGGACCTAGGTTTCCTTCATCATACACATCTTATCTGTTACTTCATCCTATTTCTGACCACTCTGTAATGTGCCAACTCTCTTTTTTTCCCTCGCTTTGCTAGTGGCAACACCGGCACTGGCGGCACACCCTTCATATCCAGAAACAAACTTCGGCAAATGCGATTAGATATTATATTTTACGTTTATTTGCGTCACTGTTCGTTAGTTCACATTGATGTTCTAAGTACGTATCGAGCGTTTGCGAAGTGCAAACCGCTAAGTTATTTCACAAGACACGACATCCTTTTCTTCCATTCCCTGACGATTCAAAATTGTAGTCAGTAGCCGAGTAGGTACGCTTGTAATTGGATCGCGGGGCCCTGACCCTATAACTTACTCAGTCTCAACTGTCAAGTCTCGCACAATATGTAGGATTAAAGGTGGTATACTAGTTTAACGGAGTCAAATGAGACACTCGTGACCAACTAGTATTCATTCACTAGTGTCTCAGTAAACTTTGTACTTTTTCAATTACTAAATATGTTTCATGCGAGTGGATCGAATTTGCTTGCTTCTAAATCGAAATTTAAATCTATTATTTGCCTACATAATAATAAACAAATTGTCCACCGAGTGAAATTTTTCTTAAAAACAGTCTTGACCGTTGTTTTTATCGGGGGTCGGAGCTAGGGGAGGTTACTTGAAGTTGGTCGCTAGCCGATGACCGTTGAGCGCTGATGACTCACCGATGCATGGCAGCCCTGCTACTGCCCACCCTCAACGGTGACTGCACTTCCCAGTGCCTAACCTTATCGCCCCTCCATATTATAATTAATTTCGCAATGTCAACTCTTGCTTGCTAATTCAAATAAAGGTATTTACTTCTCCTCACTACGATATAACTACCTACGTACCTAATTTTACAGATAACCTTACTTTCTATACAGTACGGTATATTATATACGTATACATAAACTATTCACTAATTTTAGATGTTTTTAAACCTAATTAGGTTGTATTTCATTAAATTATCTAGAAGAATTTCGGTATGAAAATATAGTTTTTTTATTGGTATTTTTGTTTTAATGTGTTGAAGATTCCAAAGCTAAGCGTAACTTGACAGTGAGTTTGATTTGACTGACGGGCTGTGATTAATCAATAACTTACTAAGAAATAAGAATCTCTAACAAATAAACATGAGGTCAATTATAGCTATTTAATTCTAAAGCTTGAGCTCATTACTTCCGAGTTCCGGGTTAGTTGGTCTCGGGTTGGCTGAACGAGAAAAATCGAAACTTACTATCGATTGGTCGTAGTTGGGTTAGTCGTAGCCCGGAAGAGTTAATTGCTTTCGGGTATCGAGCGTAGTTTGAATATGTCACCTAATTAGTGAGGAACGCAGGTACTGACAATTCGGCTTCATTCTACGAACTTTATACGAGTTAATAACTAAAACAACAATTGTTTTTAGCTCTTATATTCCTAAAGTTTCGTGCTTTCTCTAAGTGCTTTTTGCTCAGATATTTTCAGACATTTCGTTAATTGATTTCAAGGTTAACTTAGTATAGCACAACAGTCAACATGCAAGATCGAACAAGTGACGACACAGCATGGGATGATGAGAGCTCGCTCAACCATACTATCTACCATGATTACAGTAGATTTTCTGGTAGTAATGATAGTGATGAAGGTCGATGTAGAGAGGCCAATAATTCTTACCCCGAAGGAGCATCGTCTGACGTCTTCCCAAAACGGCTGCTGAGGTCACAGTGCTCTCTGGGCAAACATTGCACCCATGGTCGAGGCATCTGCTTCACATCACGGATATCACCTTCTCCGAAAAATTTGTAAGTATTTATTACTTTCTTTGTCAATCAATACTGTTTTATTTCAACTGCCAATTCTGAAAATGTTTAGCTCTACTCGATTGGAATTCATTTCTTTCTTTTTTACACTAGATTCAGTAGATTGATTTCTGCAGTCGCATCTCAAACAGCTTCTGGCTGAACACCGAATATTTTCCCGAGGCTTGTTGATTCTAAATCGAAATGTTTAATCAATTTTTAAAATTAACCAGCAGTGATGGTCAGAAGTAATTATTTTATGTTTCTGTTAACGCTTACATCAAACTTTTCAATGAAATGAAAATGAGCTCGTTCAAGTGACCTACTAAATGCTTTGCTAAGACATTTTCAATTGATATCATTAAAACAACGATAAATATACCTTTCATGTTAAATTTACGATTTTAAACTTCTATCTTTAATTCAAAAGTTTACATTATCATATTAAATTTAACTTTCAGGTAGCCTCTTTAACTAGAATTTCCGAATACTGTCATGTTTTCAACGGATGTGGTCGGTGTATAAATACATTCATGCATAACTCATGAGCGCTAAGCTCGCGAAGCGCACACTCCTTCTTCTGCCGAGTCATTTCTCCCAACAAAGACTGAGCAAGTCGAGTGGTGCAAGTATCATGGGTGCGACACGCAATTTTTTCCTATGTCCGCGGCGAAGTCGGCATGCTGGTAGAGAAGAAAGAGATAAGAACTACTGATAATCATAGGCGACAAATAGTTGGCCAAGTTGCCCATGATGTACAGTACTTGCGCATTCTAGGATCATTTGTTCTTGTAGGAACCCTGCTGTTCGTAATCATTGCTCGCTTATCTTCTGAGGGCTGCAGTTTTCAAATTCTTGAGAAAGGGTCACGGAGATCATCGCCTTATCCACTATGACTCGATATTTCAATAATTTTAATATAATATTCACGTCAAACTTTCACAATGCTTCGTTAAATTTTGGTATGATTTGATCGGGATTTTTCATTTGAAGAAATTTTAAATAAAATTTCAACTTATTCAGTGGCTATTTGTGTTAAGTTTATAGCCAATAATAATGAAGTGAAATAACTCCGGCATTTTTTCATTTTATGAACTCCGGTCCTGTTATTTTTAAACTCGCTTTGCTTGTTGTGATGTAAGGAAGGAAGTGAATGAAATAATTGGAGTATTTATCACTAGCTGGCATCTGCCCGGCGTCCGATGGCTACGGTGGTCCTGGGAGTGACGCCATTCAGTTGCCAGGGCGACGATGTTCGTGTGGAGTGTGTGAAATTTTTCCTTCTTCGTGCAATTTTGTGTTGTTACATGATTTTTGAATTAATATCTTGTGTGCTCATTAATATATGACTGTATGAATAAGAATAATATCTTTTTTAGATCTCTCGCAAAAAAATGTTGTTAATCCAATGGTAACTCTGTGATTTTTTCGCTAATCAGCTGAGCGTTGCTCTGAAGCGAGAGCGATGTTTACATGTCTATTTTTATGACCAGCTTCAATCAGATCTTCAGTACCTACACGTATCATCACGGTTATCGTCGTGATGATACGTGACGACACAACATGGGTTCTGATAACACACATTGCTTGTCACCTCATGCATTAGGGCAGACGACATTCTTCGCATAACACCCATTTATTTTTATTCATGTATTTATTTATGACTCGAATATCGACTGAAATTTGAAAAAGGAGTATTGTTCTCATTCTCAAATTATGCAATTATTAATTAAATACTCCGTGCTGATTCTTTATTGTTAAGAATGAATGCAGAATGCAAATCTCTATGTTCTGTGTGCTTATTTGTTTCGTGTTTTCTGTACGCAAAGAATAATAAAATTGCATCAATTGAAAATACATAAATCAGGAAATAATAAATACTTTCGTAGGAATCATGCATTTTAATCGTAAAGTAGATCACTTTCGCACTATTTATTTGTTTCAATACGTAGTAAAACTTACGATGTTTATAGACACTGACAAGTGACAAGTATTATTTATTCTATTATGCTTATTGTATTTCAGGCGCAAAAGACGTCGAAGAAGACGTATCATCAGGAAGAACGTCCCAGAAACTGACGTGGACTCGCCCAGTCACGACCGTCTTAATGATCGTCAGCAATTACAAGATCACAGTTTATACGATAGTTCAGATGACCTTAGACTGAATAGAAACATAGGTCATTCATCGTTAATGAATGGTAGATCGCCGACTAGCAATCCAAAAACCAGAAGCCCGTTAGAATATCTGCGATTGATTAAAGACTGGATTTTTGAACAAAGGTCCAAGGACTCACTAAGCAAACAGTCGAACCTATTCGATGAAATGCAAAGCAAATCTAATGCCTCTTCAAGTAACGGAACCAAATACAGTTTTAGGGAAAATTCAGGAAATAACTTACAAACAGACGATGTTATGACTACAAAAAGACGGTCTACAAGGCATCACAACGTTACCAAAGACAGTAAACCAAAATATCACGATAAAATGGATCTCCAATCACGGGAATCTCAGGATAGCGACCATGACGTGGTGAGATAATGATCTATAGTTAATCGTAGGTTTTCAATTCTGCTCAAATAAAATAATTGTAGTGATAGAAGAATTGCCTTAATAAAACTTGAGATAATCAAGATAGTACACCGATACAGTACTTATAAAGGACCGCGTAGTTTTCTTACCATCGGGGCTTATATCAAGTATACATGTATCAAGTATACATGTATCAAGTATCCATATACCAAGTATTAGTCAAGTATCTTACTCACCAGCATGTTGCTGTACACAAGTGTTTCTATAAGCACCGCGCGTGCAGTCCACTCTACGTGATGCAGCATAAACTGCATCTTGAAGCGCTTCCAAACTCAGTTCAGTCATGTTTTAATTATTAATATTAGATAGTAGAATTTACTACTTGTTTATACACGTGCGATTGATGACCAGAGAATTCGTTGATTTATATTATCAGGGAGTGGAACTTTTCTTCAGATGACGGTAGATTAAAATTAATTTTAATTTAATTGTATTATTGTATTAATTATTGTGTATTAATTATTATACAGTTGTTTATTTTACTGAACCATCGCAGTTTAGTGTCTCACAGTTTAGGGTCCAGCAGTATAGCTGGACCCTATACGTTTTCATATTAGAAGAGTGGAAAAGTTCTACTGGTAACGCAGTTCACTGATGAATCTGTAGTTATTTTTGGAACACTAGGTATTGTTGGAACACTAAGTAGTTATTGTTGGAACACTAGGTATTGTTGGAACACTAGGTAGGTATTGTTGGAACACTAGGTATTGTTGGAACACTAGGTATTGTTGGAACACTAGGGATTGTTGGAACACTAGGTATTGTTAGAACACTAGGTATTGTTGGAACACTAGGTATTGTTGGAACAATAAGTATTGTTGGAACACTAGGTATTGTTGGAACACTAGGTATTCTTGTAACGATACCTATTGAAATATTTCTGTTTTGAAACAATTGAAATTTTTCTGTTTTCGTAGCTTTAAACGTTCAATCTGCACAATGATTAATATCGTTCTATGTTCACAGATGAACAGCTCGTTCAGCTCAGAAGTGAGTGTTCTGTCGGTGCGGCGACAGTTGTTCTCCGACAACCCCACCGGGGGGCTGAGTTCCTCCAACTCTCCCCCTGCCGCCCCCCTCACCCCCGCAAGGGTGACGAAGGAGAGAGGGGGGGCTGTGTCTCCTGAGAGTGGACTAGGGGACGAAGCTTCCTCATGGGGTCAGTATTTGTTTATCATTTGTTCAGCTTCTCATTTTACGCGTTGGTTCACTTCTTAATGCTTCACTGAGAAAAATTAATCGGTCATATGATCCGAATACTGGCAAACTTTACACGTTGCACAAGCGGACATACTGTACGTAGCACTGGTACGTCGTTTTGTCTGGCCAAACTGGGTCAGGATGACTTCACAAATGCGAAAAGTGCATCTATATTTAGACAAAGTCTCCCTTATTTCTCTGAGTGTAGCTTTGTGTTGATCTTTTGATGCCATTTTTGGCGCATTTTCTCATTTATTGAAAGAATGCCATCCGTCATGTCCGTCCGTTTGTCTGTCTGTCTGTCCGTCCGTGACTTCACGTTTTCGTCGGCGAGAAAATGCGCTCTGTGTCACTCACTGCAGTGAGTACTGAGTGGGGGCGCAGCCGTAGGCCACAAATTTTACTCCTAAATAAGCCCTGGAGCCAACGCCTAGCTTCAGCATGCAGTAACTTTACTCAGCCTTAGAGCGCGAAGTCGCAGTCTATGCTTGAACTCCAAAATCCAGACAAGCAAGTCACTGCCTAAAGATAAAGGTGCCGTAGGTCTTCAGCCAAGGATTAAGCATGCTCGCTCATAAGCAGGGAGTTCCCCATTCGGCTGGACCTACTCAGGCCTAATCTCTTCTGGCCTAACCTTCACGCTGTCCCGGCTCACAACCTTCTTGCAGCCAATAACTGGCTCTACCAGCACACTTGGACCGCCTTTCTAACTTCTTGCAGCCAATGAGGTTAGGTTAGGTCCGTTCAGGTTTGTTTTGGGTGGAGAAATGTTGCAACTTGTGTAGGTTAGGCGTGAAGACGTTAGGCTGGAAGAGGTTTAGCCAAATGCAGTATATATGGCCATGTTTACCTTTGGCAAGCTTATTTTGCAGCTGTGGACATCCGGCGCTACGGCTTTGAGCACTTGACTTTATAGACCGTTATTCACTTCAGCGTTCTTACATACAGAAAGTAATATGAACTAAATGTGAAATTTGGCAAAGCTGGTCTCCGGCATGCGCCCCACACTGAGTTATATTTTTTAAGATTCGCTTGGTCAGAATTTTTCAGTTATTCGTAAAAGTTGTATGTACCATTATCGTATATCTGTTTTTTCTTCTAATTTTTTGTCTTCCTGTCTCTGAATTTTGTTATTGATCAATTAGCGACTCAATTTGGCAGGATTCTTTGTGTTATGTTTCATCCCACGCTTCTGTTATTCCAATTCTCTGTTGTTTTTATGCACCGCAATTTCACTTCGTAATTCAATGTGTGCAACACAGAGGCGAATTAGAAAATGGATGAATGCGTATATTTTTCGTCTGTATTGACTGGTATTGTGTGCAAATAGATAAAGTGAAATAGCACAATAATGGCGTCATTATTCACCATTTTATATTATTTCATTATGTATTTGTACCCACCGCTGTATCTTTGTACAGACCTCTACATCTTTGTACCCATCTCTGTATCTTTGTATTGAGCTCTGTATCTTTGTACTGACCTCCCTCTACATCTTTGTAGCCATCTCTGTATCTTTGTACTGACCTCCCTCTACATCTTTGTACCCATCTCTGTATCTTTGTACTGACCTCTACATCTTTGTACCCATCTCTGTATCTTTGTACTGACCTCCCTCTACATCTTTGTAGCCATCTCTGTATCTTTGTACAGACATCTACATCTTTGTATCCATCTCTGTATATTATATTACAGACCTCCATATCTTTGTACCCACCTCTGTATCTTTTTACAGACCTCTACATCTTTGTACCCATTTCTGTATCTTTGTACAGACCTCTACATCTTTGTACTCACCTGTCACCTCTGTATCTTTACACCCACCTCTGTATCTTCAATTCATGCCCATCTCTGTACCCACAGCTACCAACACGCCGTGCCAGTTTGTGTCCGGGGAATTTTTCTCATTCCACGAAGATGACCCTAACTGGAATACCCCCCGCAAAATATCGGTGAGCTACCTACTGTAATTCATTTTATTCTATTATTTTAGTATTAGTATTTTCTATTTTTACACTATTTAGTCTTCGTTAAATGTTTTTAATTCTCGAGTCTTAACAAAGTATACATTCTTTGTCATTGATTGTTATTCCACTAAGAATTTTACAAAATTTTGCTTAAATGCATTATATGATTCTCCTGTGAGAGACTCAAAATAATGAAAAAATAAAAGGTTAAAATTTCACTAATTACTTTCAAAATTCAGGTTATGAATAGCATGTCAACTAGAGTTCCAGTGAAAGCAGAGAATGACAAAGAAGTACCAGGATAGTTTGTGTTATGAACCAATGCCACACGAATGATTTTCATGTTCATTTACGATGCTCATACGATGGAAAATTTTGTCAGAGTACGTACGCAACGTATATAGTAGTTAGTCGTACTGCAAAAAAAGTAAATGTACTAGTACTGGTTGTTTACGAAATAGTCCTTATGGTTGTTTACGAAAGAGAGTATCTGTATGAAATCATCGTCTTAAAATAACATAACCGTAGTTTCACATTTTTTCCAGGAGTCGACTCGGCGTCTCAGCCACCATCAGCCCCAGAACCATTACATCGCCTACACCTCCGACCAAGAACTACAAGAGTGGAGGTTAGTCTCAGTCTTTTATTAATTCTATTCAGTATGCCCTCGATTCACTGATCCATGCAGTGCACCTTGTAAATCACGTCCCCCATCTATATCAGCTTCAACAGGGATTTATGGTGTAAATTTATTTTCTAAGTAGCTTTGAGGAACGTTGCCAGCTATTGTTAAAGACATTGCCTGCTGGTGTAGGCTCGTTCACGCAAGCTGCATTAGAAAACAGCTGGAAAAATAGCAATTATGAGATAATTGTTATTTTTTAAAGCCAACATGAACATCCGGTTAAGTGGCTTGGAGTATATGAAAGTAAAAGCAGGAAACAAGAGCGGAGATTTACTCGCCTTTAGGTGTTTGCATGTTCAAGTTACTAGCAGTAACTCTCGGTAGGTTCCTGCCTAATGACGTCAGTTGTCTCATATAGAATAATGTGGACTTGAAACAACAATATATGTTACCAATAATGTGTTACTGTCATTAATGTATTATAGCCCCAGTACTGGCGGCTATAAATCATCTTGTGTTTGTTGAAGGATACAGGTAAATTATTTTTTTTATTAATGCAGACAGGGTTTTTGTATTATTTTGACTTAATCACTGTAATTATTAGCAAATTATCTTGCATGACAACGAACAACTCAGTCGTCAATGATGCGAATTCCTTTTTTTTTTTTTCATATGTAACTGATGAACATTTCACCAAAATCATTTGAGCATCTGATTTTCTGTCGCAAAAGTTTGATTCGCTAATTGTTTGAAATGAAATAGGTTTAAATCGCGTTATGACATTTTAGCCTGTTTTTCTAGGTAGAAACTATTTTGTACATCCATATTCTAGCGGAATGTGGAAACGACTGAAAAAGTATTCTAAAGTTTACATTAATTTCGCTAAGTATTATGACGAAAATATTGAGTTATTTTAAAGTACTGATGTGATGAAATGACCCTCGGAAGCGGCAAATGTTTGTTATCTGATCGATATAATTTCTACCGCAGATAAAAACGAGTTGCACGACAACTACCAAACCGATGAATTGGTTGCATTTCCGTTGCTAAACAGTTTTGTGAGTGGAGTGAAATTCGTTTGGTTGCCTTGTTTGCTTCAAATTTCAGACAACTCTAACTTGTAGTTGGTCTTCATTTCAAGGTTTTCTACCTTTACCATGGGATTCAGCTCAGAGGTACAAATGACCGTTAGGTGTTGATTGTGCGTCTGGCACATGGTTGTGGAGAGAGCTGACGCACTTGGCTGGTCCGAGTGGGACAAAATCGCGTGACGTGATAAATTCTTGGCGACCCTGCTTGGCAGCAGCAGTTGCAATCGTGTAGTTGTGTGTGGTGGTGGTCAAGTTTTTTGGCTCCTGCCAACTGCCGGCGCGAACATTCATACTGGTCATATTTCACAGCAACTCTGTTCTCTGTAACAATAACGAAGAATTTCGCTCTTGGATTTGTATAGTATAAAGTTCTTATTTTTTTACAGTAAAAATATTTGCAAATAAGCAGATTTTCTTTAAAATCTGAACATCCAATACTGTTTTAGTTGTAGACTTGTAGTATTTAGGTATTCGTCGGTACTGAACTATCGGTGCAGTAGTAGGCTATTCGTCAATAATTCGGTATTCTGAACTTCTGAATCTGAAGTGTGTGTGTGGCTTGTTCGGTAATGGTAGCCTAGTAGGCTAGTACTAGGACTAGCACCTAAGTGAATTATTGAAATGGGGGTTCATATATTCGTATTTGTTCCAGTCAGATAGTAATTTGATCAGTTTCAAACAGCTAGATTAGCCTAGATATTCAAATTTGGCACTATGAGTCTAAGGTGATCACATCATGGTGACTAAGGTGATGTATTACATTTTTTAATGTTGTGATTTTAACCAGACTCACAGACTGGATCAGTGAAACGTGACAGATTTTTCCAAAAATTGAGGAGAAAATTCATCAATTGATATGTATCAGTGAACTCCTTGTCCTTGATAGATTCACTAGGTACTTCAAGGACAAGGAGCAATAGGCTATAAATTAGTTCAATTTCATTGTAGGCTACCTAATATTGATTAGGTATAGAACCAATCTAGAACATCAAGCAGAATTAGAAAAAAAGCAATGGTGAAAACTAGCCTTTTAGGAGTGATTTTTGAACAATCAAATTATAAATGCACCATATTCAGTCAGCCATTAAAATCAGAGCCTTCAGAGGAATAGTAAGTGCCAAACAAACCGGTGAAATTGTCTTATGAGCACTGAGCATGGAGCACGGGCATTTAGGTATATCTCATTCATATGTAGCCAAAGTGGAGAATCTGGGAGGAGCCACCCGACACCCGTGAATCTCACAAAAACACCCAGGAATTTGGCAAATTTTACCCCTTCCTATGGCCTTTTTCCAATTTCTTCAGTAAAAAATAAGAAAAACTGCCAAACTTTAACTGCTTTTTTAAATCATCTGTAAAATAATTGTTCATACCTTCAATTTGGGAAAATTCTGCCCTCTATTCCAAGTAGGACAACTAGCTTCTGCCTAATTTTCCAGTTTTGATTTTTTTTTATACTCTACTGGTGACATCTGTCCAAGTTTCCATATCTATCATAAGTATGTTCACCTGAATTATTTTGAATATTCTGCATTGTCAGAAGTTTCATGAAAGATAGAGGCTGTGATTGCAATTGCATCATTTGTCATAATTATATATTTTTTTAGTGGCAATGGTAGGGCGGACTTGGGCCTATGAGAATTCAAAGAAAAAGAATGGAGGTAATTGGCTCATTTCTTGTATAATCTCATACGCCCTGTTAATATTATACCTTTTCAACTTTTTTAGAGATTTGATGACCTATCTGATATAATACTTTGAACTGAAGATTTCTTTCTTAGAACATGTAGACATGTTCTCTACTTTGGCCGCTCCAGGTACATATATAAATTCCTTCCTGTCTTGTTGGTAAATACTTTATCAGATATACCGTATAAATAACCACCACGACATAAAACCTACATGCTAGTTTACTCTGCATAAGTATCTTTACCATTAACACCAATAAATTATATACATATTTGTGAATTGTAAACTTTATTTGATTTATTAATTTAAAAAATGGTGTGAAGTTTTAAATCATTAAAATGTTTATCTTTTTTAAAATTTTGCCTAATTTTGTTTAATTCCATTATAGAATAGATACTAATAAACTTCCACAAGTGAAACAAGACAAGAGATTTTTCCAATTTTAATCAAGGTTTCTGAAATTTATCAACAGAAGTGATTCAAATATCAGTTTGTTTAACAAAAATCTAAAGTTTGTGCAGTTGCTTAAGCCAAAGTTCCTGATGTTTGTGAGATGCACTGATGGTTTGTTTATGTTTTGGGTGTGCCCATCTTGAGGGGTTGCCCACTTGATCCTTGTAGATTGATGGCCCAGGAAGTGCTTCAGAGGTTTGGGTGTTCATCCATGTGGTTGCTTAAGGCAAGAAAAATATAACTCAGTACTCACTGCAGTGAGTGACAGAGAGCTCATTTTCTCATTGACGAAAATGTGGTCACGGACAGACAGACAAGACAAGCTTAATAATGCCTTTTTTCCATAAATGAGAAAGTGCGCTAAAAAGCAATGGCTTAACCTAAAGACTGATATTTATTAATAATAGTTATTTTGATTTGGTTGGCATTTTCTCTTTTTAGCAAATTTTCTCATTTATGGAAAAATGCCCTATTGTGCTCGTCATGTCCGTCCGTCTGCGCTCTCTGTCACTCGCTGCAGCAAGTACTGAGTTATATTTTTTCAACATTCCCATTACTCATCTGTTAATCAGTATATTAAAAAATTAAATACAATAGAATGGTTCCTTCAACCAATTTTCCCCATTTGTTTCTTCTCTTTAGTGGCCACTGAAACGTGCTGTATCAGCTATTTCTATTCTCAAGGAGCTAAGTTCATTGAACATTCCTGGGGTCTCTAACAGTCTGGTTTTGGTACCACTGCCATCTCTCAAATGCCATGCTGCCATAATTGGTCTGGCACTCCACCACTACTACCATCTCTCAAATACCATACAGCCATAAATTGTCTGGCATTACACCACTACTACCATCTGTCAAATACCATGCTGTCATAAATGGTTTGGCGCTACACCACAACTACCTTCTCTCAAATATCATGCTGTCTTAAATGGTCTGACACTATACCACTACTACCTTCTCTCAAATATCAATCTATCATAAATGGTTTGGCACTATACCACTACTACCATCTCTCAAATACCATACAGCCATAAATTGTCTGGCATTACACCACTACTACCATCTGTCAAATATCATGCTGTCTTAAATGGTTTGGCGCTACACCACAACTACCTTCTCTCAAATATCATGCTGTCTTAAATGGTCTGGCACTATACCACTACTAGCATCTCTCAAATACTATGCTGCCATAAATGATATGGCACTATACCACTACTACCACCTCTCAAATACCATGCTGCCATAAATGATCTGGCACTATACCACTCCTACCATCTCTTGAATATCATGCTGTCAAATGGTCTGACACTACACCACTACTACCATCTATCACACATAATGTCTTACCTCCCTCCTATCAAAATATATGGGTCATATAAGACATGAAATTTGATTCACTAAGAATCTTTGTGAATTGTAGGCTTTTTCTCAGGTATTCCCTGTACCTTTTTGAAACATTTATCAATTTGAAACTACATTAGATATGATAAAAGCTGTAGAGTAACAAATGATTGATTAAATCCTTCATATAATTACTATGCACTTGCATCACATTATTGATGTAATATAAATTGAATGGAAGATTGTGTAAAACATTCATTTCAAAAATTTTGTTCCACTTGTAGATGAATCTGTGTTATGAATGCAAACTGAATATTTTGACCAATGAACTCAATTCCTTCTCCAACTTGAACAAGTATTACTATGCCACTTAATAATACCTCAAGGGAGACTAGTGGCACTAGTTCAGTAGCAAGTACAGGTGTAACTAGTGGATATGGTGTCACTATCTCCAAGAAACATGTTCATCATAATAGACAGAAACTGAAATTCAAAGTGCCTGCTCATACAGGAGACTTCATTGAAGTAATTGATGCTGAAACTGCAGCTATCAACGTCACCAATAACTTAGAGAAGTGAGTCATTCCTTGAGTTCTGGTGAGGGAGGGTATTCTGAGGGAAGTGGATTAGCATTAGAATAGAATAGAAGTGTCGGCGTTGAAGAAATAGGCCCATGGCCTGTTGCCGATTCTTGAACTTTTCGTGACTTGATTCACAAGGGATCCGGCCTTTGGAACCCGATCTTTCCATAGCTGACGATTGATTGAGATAGCTGCTGGACTGCATTGATTTATCATAAGGTGGATAATATTAGTAGACAGTGTAGTGAAAGATTAGCTGGTAACTGGCTAAGGATAATGCTTCAATTATTGATGTGAGACATAGATATTAATTTTTAAAGTATTCAACTATTATATATACTGTAAGTATTATGATTTTATACTACAACAGATTATTAAATAGGTAATATTTTTTGTTTAAATAATATTTACAAAATAGCTCGCTTTTACCCTGACCAAATTATGTAAGATTTTTATATTAAAGCGTAATTCTAACCGATGAGCTCCCTTTTACTTATTCAGGGTAAAATACCAATGTGTGTGCAGTTTGAGTGCACTTATTGGGACTGCATCTAACCTGTAATGCTGCCTCGTTTGGTGACGCGCAAATAGCACCACAGGTACTCTCAGTCAGTTGCTTACTGGGCGTACGCAATGCGAGAGGCGAGTGGGGGCAGTTCATCTCTAATTGTAAACCTCCTCCCCCCAAAGTCACCCTCCCCCTCACTACTTATCCCTCACTCGTTCCGCCTCTTTCCTGTGTGTGAAGCAGAATACCCGCATCGCCGGTTCCTCTATCGAACGTTTACGTGAATTTTGTGTCAATGAGAAAATAGAATGGATTTATGTTACATCAAATGTCGGTTATGATTTTTTATGTATGTTAAGGTGGTGAATTTAGTGTAATTCTAACTTATTGGGAGAAATTTAAATATTTGCGTTTCAGTTGCGTGCTTGCATGAAAAACGTTCGCGAGTCGTGGTCCTTCCTTTTTTTCTTTCTGCTTTGGTATAGAAATTGCTTGAAATTTCAAGACGTTCATATCGTTAGCTTTTCGTGCTGCTAGAAAATATGATGATGTCGATGTATTATTTCAAGTCGTATCCGGTTGGAATCAAAATAATAGTTTAACAAGCTGTGCATTATGTATATACATGTTCAACTCCTATCGAGCGGTAGAACAAATATTTTGACTACCACAGCTGCGCTTCCGACCGTTATAATGTCATGTGAATGTGAGGCAGAGGCTTACGCACTGCCATGCTCTAATGTAGTAATTGTGAAATGATTATTCATGACCGTCAACTGAGGTCAACATGACCATCTTTATGACAATGACCAATACCTATGATATTGTTGGTAACCACTAACCTGTTGTGCATGGTGGAACACCTCTTTCTCCAAATGCCAAAGTTACTGTGCAATTCCCTCCGCTAACCTAATTGTTACCCTAATGCTACGCTAATCTCCCGGTTAGCCTTAGTTAACTCGCTGGCTAAAGTCGTCTCGTAATCAATGTCAACCCTATGCTGTGCAATTTCTTCGTTAGCCAAAGTTAACATAATGCTGGTCAAATTCACCTCGGTTATGGCTTAAGTAAAACTAGCTGTCACGTTAGGGCAGAAACTTCTTATATCGAATTCAGAACTTGTACATCTTTATGCCTTGATTGTGAATGTATGTTGCACAAGCTAGCAAAGTAACTCGACGACCTTCATTTTTAAAGAATAATACATAATCATGTTTCATCCAGCTTTGCTCGTTGTTATTCGTCTCAAGCTAGAGCGTAAACTAATAATTTTTGCGTTGTCGTTAGCTTTTGTCGTAGGCTAGTTATTAAAAAATTTTTCGTCTGGTTGCCTGACTAGAGAGGAATGAGAATTTCAGAGATGAAAGTCTCCCAGTCTCGTGCAGTCGTGCACTCGTGCACTGACTGCACTCGTGCTCGGCAGTCAGTGTGACCGCAGTCGTGATCTGAGTAGGTGTGTGACTGAGCTCGCTCGCGATGTCAAGGCCATGGTGATGCAAGGCTCGTGTTCCACTAACCGTTAAAGCCGTTAGGAGTGACAGCCAGAGTGAAAGATTTTGAGATAAGGTTAGTCATCTCGCCGGCCCTTGGTGAAGCTTGTGATCTATTTTTACACCTTTGTGATGATGTCCTAGTCATTATTGGACTGGGCTTTCTTTGCTTGTTCTGTGTTTGTTTACGTACCAACATCCCGTGCTGCGGCGATGACTCATGGCTACTGTTATCGTCCTAAATAAACTTGTAAGTGTTCTTTTTAATTTTTGTTGGTTGTATTTTGCAAAAGTCACTTCTTGGTAGGTCTGTTTTAAATTATTTGAATGGTTTCTTCTCTCTGTGAAACGTTGTGAAAATTTTTTCGAAGCCTAGCATATATCCGATAGGAACGATACTTGCGGTAATCAGCACCGTGCGATTATATTCTGGCGGTGGCGTATACATTAATCTTCACCATTCAACTTTTGAATAATTCAGGGAGGATTATAGCCCATGTTACGTTTAGTCGTCGAGATTAGAGGCAGACAATATATTCACTGAGGTTTTCTTCTTGAAAGGCGCAATGCGAATGATGAATGAGTACATCGTTGTTCTTATAATGAATAATGTTGAATTTTTTACCGATTCACTATCTCATGCTTTTGCACTATTTACGGTGGTGCCAGCTGGCCTTCCTGAATTATTTCGAAGAGCGTAAGCCGATGGACAGACTTGGGACGCCCTGCCCAACCTTAGCATATATTATCAAGTTCAGTTCAGGACCTGCATGGGTATTGGCTGAAACGGTTGCAAAATCGCAAAAATTGCTGTGCATTGGACTTGCTGGGGCGGTTAGCCGTAAACCAGTCTAGTGCAGCCAGCACGCGCGTACTTAGTGGTCCTTGCTTACTGCAATAGGCGTAGGCGGGACCTGTTATAGCGGTGATATCAGGCTTTCTAGGCCGCCATCCCGGTCTGGTGGCAAATGCAGGCGCTGGAACTGCGATGGTGGCGGTGAAAATGGGGCGCAGGCCGGAAAATTGCAGTGGAACTGTGATGCTGACGGTAAAACTGCCCGAGCCCGAAGGCAAATTAATGCGAAACACGTTTCGAAGACGTGTTGATTTTAGTGAAGTTTTGAGTACATTTTATGCAATTTCATTCACTAGCAAACTCACTGTGAGTCACTTTTATAGCAATATCACTCACTAAAGGACTCGTAGTGTATTACTGCTGTTATTGCGCTGTTCTCGTATACCCTCTTCTAAACATTTAATCCATATGCGACATGCCACAGTCATATGATGCATGCGGCGAAAAAGAGCGCTCTTTTAAAATAATGGCTTGTGCAAGCATGCGGCAAGACGTTCCTCGTGGCAGCAGCACAACTGAACAAATTGACACCGTTACTGCTGTGCATTATCACTTAATTCGTGCTGCAGCTGTTCTACCAGCGTGTTGCACCATTCTTTCCCTTGTGTATCAGCCTTAATTCCCTCGCTACAACATCACAACCACCTTCGTTTACTTTAACATCACTACAACTCTCACGTAACATCCCTTTCAACCCTTGTGGAACAACATCGCTACTCCTGTAGCGTGCATCGTGTATCGTGTAGCTACTTGTATACATCTATGCATCTATCGTGTAATTGCATCACTACCATTGTGTAACCACATTCCTATTGTGAAACATCACTACTCTCGTGTAACAGCACCACTACCCTCATGTCCTTCATCCATGATGTGCAACATCGCGCTATCCTTATGTAACATCACTTCCCTTGGGGAACATAATCCCTAGTGCAACGTCATCACTCCTCTCGTGTAACATCCTCCCTGTTGTGCAGCATTGCTTTCCCTATGTAACATCACTTCCCTTGGTATTATAATCCCTAGTGTAACGTCATCACTTCCCGCGTGTAACATCCTCCCTGTTGTGCAACATCGCTTTTTCTATGTAACATCACTTACCTTGGGTAACATAATCCCTAGTGTAACATCATCACTCTCTGCGGTTAACATCCTCCCTGTTGGGCAGCATCACTATTCTCGTGTAACAACAAACCTCGTGTAACAGCATCACTACCCTCATGTCCTTCATCCATGTTGTGCAGCATCGATATCATTATGTAACATCACTTCCCTCGTTTAACATCCTCCCTGTTGTGCAGCATTAGTCCCCGCACGGACTACACGTACAGCGCGTCTGTGAGCTACAGGACGCATAGCCCCCGCAAGAGGGTGGGCTCCCCCAACATGTCGCGACGCCCTCTGCACACGACGCTTCCCTCGCACCCTCTGCCCTCAGACGAAGAACACCAAGTGCTGAGGGAGGGGATCTCTTTACAACAGTTCTACGACGGTCGGGCTATCAGACGAACTGAAGGTGGGTATAGAGTTATAAGTTATTGCATTATTCAGTCATCATATGTTTAAATACGTTATTATTTCTATATAACAATGTTTAAGTTCATAAGTGCGATCGTCCAAACCAAACCTTGTTTGTTTACTTACATTTATGTATTATATTCACCTATTTCTCTTTTTTTCTAATATTCCATTCCTTCTATTTGTCCATTGTTCACTACCTGAAATCTAATATTCAATCAATTATTTTCTTCCATATGTTCATTTATTTCTCGCATTTACTCTTTATATTGTATTTTTTCGTAACAACGTGTCCGTTCCCCAGCTTCGTCGGAATCCGCAACGCTCTCGGTCAACTTCGGCCTCGACCACGAGAGCGATGGCGAAGATTTGGCGCCGGCGCGATCCTCGAACAAACGCAAACATTTGTCCCATCGAGCCACCCCCCTGCTAGCATCCAACTCTTTGACTGCCAACCACGCATCTAGTTTACTGTCGACCCCAAACGGTGGATCGCTCTTCTCCCACAACGAGTGCAGTCCATTTCCGAAGGGAAGGACCACGTTCGAGGGTATCGTAGATGCTCTCTCGTACACTGCGCAGCAGCTTGTGCGCACTCCCACAGTTTTAAAGAACACCGTCATGTCTTTCACGTATTCGCAAGCGAGCCGGTACGATGTCGGTGCTAACGACATCCACTACAACAAAAATAATACAACCCTTGTTGATTCGCACACAAAAACCAAGACGATTAGTACAACCGCTGACAGTTGGTTGCATGAGAACAACCACCGGACTACCACGACTACTACCAACACATCTAGATCTGGTTCCGTCAACAGAAGCTCAATGGTGCTAAGAAGCAGGCGAAGGGTTGGGGCAACTGCTGGCACTGATGAAGAGGAACAAGTCGAGTTTTTCGAGAACACTCAAAACCAACGTCTAGGTAAACTGATAATTATTTATTTACTTATGTTCTGTTTTTAGGTGCATAGTTTTTGTTTAAACTATTTTCCTCATGAAGTTGCGATTAAGGATCATGATTCGGATTATTGGTTTTATTTTTAGTACCTATCAAATATAAGGGTTGCTGCTAACTCATTTGAATTAGATTTCTTCTTCTGGCTTACATATGTTCATCTATTATTCGGTCTCTTTTTGTTTTCATATTTCATTCTATCTATCTAAAAGTTTCAGTTGGTAGTAGTTATCTAGAGTTAGAAAATTGTCTTAGTAGTTATCTAGAGTTAGAAAATTGTCAGTCCTCGCGCCGGAAGTAAGAACTTTTGTTTTGTCACAGTATCGTGTAGGACTATGTTACGTGTAATAAGTCCTGAAAATGCTCTTCAAGTATGGTAATGTTTAAAATGTTCCGCAGATTCTACTGATGGTGCTATGGTTCAAAGTCCAAGCTCACCTGAAAGCCATTCGTCATTTTTATACACCTTATTAGCTGTGATAGTTTGGGCGACTTCTGCATCTGCCGACGCCGTTCATCGCATTTCAAAGCGCGCCATTTCTACCTCATATTCTGCCACTTCATCTGCTGCTAAAGGACTCTTGCACTGTTTTTATTTCACTCGTTCCAAAGACGCGAGTAATCTTGTGGATGAATCGGAGCACGCAACAGCAGCTGGCAGTTCGGATGAACCGAGTACAAGGAAAGCGGATACTGAAATCATGGATGATCCTGCGGACAGTTCTAAGGACGGATGGTTGAGTTGGTTATTCAGCTGTGTGCCAATTTTTGGCGGTAAACGAAGGAGGCGGATGAGAAGACGGAGACAATGGGACGAACATGGGATGGACACAAGAAGCAAGGCACGCAGAAATAGAATTGGAAGTTCAAACCTCACTGTTGATGATATAGCTGAACATGACTACGCAAACGATGATGACGACGAACATGTGCAAACTTCCTACGTCACCAGCACATTCACCTCAGTCATCACCACCGTGTTTGAAACCATCTACGATATTAGTTTTGAGATTGAAGAAGCTGCTAGGAAAATCATTGGTGTTGCAAGCCGACGCGAGGAGAGAGAGAAGGAAAAACGTCTTCGTCTTTCCAAGAGCGGAGACGAGATCTTTACTGATGGCCGGAACTCGAACTCTGTGTTTGGTGGCGACAACCACGAGACTGATGTCTATGCGGATGACGAGAGCAGCAGTGCGGCATCGTGGTGCTTCTGGATGGTACCACTATTGCTGCTAATTGCTTTTGTCGCTCTTAGTGGTGAGTTAACACCTACAACTCTTGTTTATTGTTTAATTAACAGCTAAGTTGGCGGAATAACCAAACACTGACTAGTTTACTATTGTAAAGGCTTTTGACAGGTCTAGATTTATAATTTGTTAGTTTAAGTGACACGAGGAAAGTAGATGAGAAGAATAATATTACTTAATATTACATAATATTACTTATTCTATCTTTTTCAGGTTGGTCGTATTTGTATCACTCGGAAAACTTAAAAGATGCAGTGACCTCATCAGCAGCCTATGTTACTTCCACTACCATCACAGTGACTTCAGTCGTCTGGGATTGGATCTTTTCGGTTTTCTTTTTGCTGATAGATTTTGGGAAGTTGATCCTGTGGGCCATAACGTATCCTTTCGTCTACATTTACAGCTCTGGAGCTGAAGCCCTTGGTAGAATGACGTCAGGAAAATGGTCTCTCACCTCCGACCTTGGAACCAGCAGTGGTGACACGGGCGCTTTTGGTGTAGTTTCAGTAGTTCGATCAGCCTTCTCGTCTGTACTTTCATTCTGCCTCTGGGTGTTCAGCGGTGTTTCTGAGCTCCTCTTATATATCTGGAGTCTTCTGTTATCGCTCTTATCCTACAGCGAAAGTGTTGTGACGTCTTCGTGTTCGACGGCAGCAGCGAACGTTTCCTCGTTTATGTTAGCAGGGACAGAGGGATTGTGGTCAGCTTTGTTGTGGGTTTGGGGAGTTATTGGAGTTGTTATAGGATCTGCCTTGTCTTTGGTGGCTATTGTTTTCAATGCCGTTACTGGACTGGCACAGTCGGCAAAAATCATGTTTGTGGCGTCGCCTTCTAGTAAAATTCCAGCGCCGAGACCTGAAGTTCCATTAATTAAATCTGAAGTTCCACCGCTTATCGAAAATAACGTCGCGATGATCGATGACCTGGTGGCCCGGGTACTGCAGAGCGAGCAACTGCAGCTGCAACTGGGTTCAAAAGTTTCATCTGAAGTGGCGGAACAGACTGCACCTACAGCTGCTAAGTTAGAGCAGCTGCAACTGTCCAGCTCCGCTGTGCAAACTGAAAACCGTGACCTGTTATTACAGCTCCAGCGATATCATGACAGTCTGAAACAGGAGCTGCTGCAGCTCCAGGAGAGTCTTGCAGCTGTTGCCGCTGACGGCCGAGAAGGCAGGACTGTTCTATCGGCTGCTGTTCAAGAACAGCTTCAGCAGGTGGAAGAACACATTAAACAATTCCAGCAGAATTTCAAGGACATTAATCATCAAATCAACAAGCTGCAGGTGAGTTTATTATACTTTAGTGCCTATCATTATTAATGGAATAATTTTTTAAATAAATTTCTCATTCCATGAATTTCAAGATAAATTAGATTCATGGTAAGATTTGACGTAGTTTTTTAATTGAACTGTCAATGAGGACCACAACAATTACTTTCGAGATAAGATCAAAATTGTGTGCGAACATTTTTTAATCAAACTTTGCTTGAAAAATACGTGCATTGAAGTTCCATTAAAGTTTGAGAAAAGTTTCATTAGTTGTCAAAATATTCCTAATTATATCAATATGTATATATTGTTTATTTATATGTAATGCGTATAATATATATATATATATATATATGTATTTTCTAACTTTTTTTTTTTTTTTGTTTTTCACCAGGACGACCAAAGTTTGCTCTCAGCTGAGCTGAAGTCTTGCTGCCAGAAGACGGCGCTGTCATTGGCTGACGTAGAGAGTCACGTGGTGGGCCTGATCTCGTCCCTGATTGGTGGAAGCAGCGGCAGCCTTTCTTCTGAAGACCTCAAGGCTTGGATAGCTACTTACTTCGTGGCTAAGGATCAAATGGAAGAACGAATAAACGATTTGATGAGCCAAATCAAATCTCGTACAGGTCTTAATCACTATGTTTGTTTTCAACTCGTTTTTAGAATAACTATACCGACTTAGTTTGATTCAGTATCTTTTCTATTGTAAGATTTTCTATTTCATCTTTTTACTTAAGCTGCTGAGCTTTATCTAAAATGATAAATTATACTTAGTGATTGTAATTTCTAGTTCCTGTGCAACTGAAGGATTTATGGATTATGAAGCATCTAGGTCAACATTTTAATGATGTTTAAGGTACTATTTTCGTTAACCTTGCGAAATCTGAATGAAATTCACTGTGCAGTTGTCCAGGCTGCTGCCCTTGTCCACAATTCCTCATATATTTCCATAACTAATAAATGCAAAGATATTTAGCTGTGTTTCTCAGACGTTAAATGCAGGACTAATAATATCTTCTAAATCATGTTTCAAGGCCCGCCCTTCTTCAGCAGTTTAATTTCGTATAAAGACCAAGCAAACGAACCTTCTTGATACAAATTCTATTTATTTAAAAGCCATGCAATTATACGAGACGAACTCTGAAATTTATCTCGCTGATACAGATGAAGTCACTGACTCACTGATAAACTTAAAGGATTTTAGTTACGCAATAAGATATTAGAAATCATTAATTTCGTTGTTGATTGTTAATCTTATCTTATTATCAAATGTCATTTTTATCACGCAATAAGAGTGCGCCTCAGTGCAGAAATTTTTTATCTTATCTTGTTATTGAATGTCATTTTGGTTTTGCAATGAAATGTTAGAAATTGTTCATATTCAAATTTCAAACTTGCTTCGAGTATTATAAGAAGGTCGCAATTTTTAATTTTCAAACTGGTTACGCAATACTATGGACAAAATTCTTCCTTCAAACTTGCTTCTATTATTAAAAGGCACTTAATTTCAGACGTTGCCCCCGAGTCCAGCCGTCTTCAAGAGGAGACCCTGGTGCAGACACAGCAGCTGGTAATGGAGCGCGTCATGGAGACCCTGCAGACAAGACTGCACGAACACGACCAACGCGTCACGTCTGGCATTCGTGAGACCGTTGTTGCACACCTTGAGTCTGACCAGATCAAAGACCTCCTGGTTAGTCACCTCGATTCTGACCAAGTTAAGGAGCACCTGGAAGCCCACCTAAAAGCTGACCAAGTCAAGGACCATATCGAAGCACACCTAAAGTCTAATCAAGTCAAAGATCTCCTGATTAGTCACCTCGATTCTGACGAGATCAAGGAGCACCTTGAAAGCCGTCTCAAGTCTGACCAAGTGAAGGATATTCTGGTTAGTCACCTTGATTCTGACCGAGTCAAGGACCATATCGAAACCCACCTCAAGTCTGATCAAGTCAAAAACCTCCTGATTAGTCACCTTGATTCTGACCAAGCAAAAGACAACATCGTCACTCACCTCAAATCTGAGCAAGTCATTGATCGCCTGCTGCTAGAGCTTCAGCCCATACTTGAAGAGCGGCTCAAAAACTCTCAAGAAATAACAACTGAAAATGCACGCGTGAGTCTGACGCCATTTGTTATGTCGAGAATAGCTTCTGAAGTTCTGATGCCCTTGCAATGTTAGTCAGAGTTTCATTTTATCAGGCCCATTAGGTGTTTATTTCTATCAATTAAATAATTCAATGCAGCGCATATTTGAGGTATGTTGAACTTTTTTTCGTTCTCAGGAGGCGGTGGAAATTGAGACAGCGGCGCGAAGTGTTGAACTCAATGACACCGTCAACGCTCTTGTTGCTGCCGCCATAGCGCTGCATATGGTGAGACTGGCATACTTTCCACATAATTTAATGAAAAATAACGCCAAATTGTATTACTTTCTTTTCAAGCGCCTTTCATTTTATTGGTTCTAAAACTGGAGTTGTCTCTTCTACGACTTACGAATGAACCTCGCCTAATGATAGTTAATAAAACTATTCCTAACTTTGTTTTTTCATACCCGGCTGCAATTATAAGCCCCAAACCAAACTTGTCACTTCAAGTTTTATCATCACTTTTCAAAATATTCATTTATTTTGAATGATTTCCTTTTTATTCAATCCATCAACATAATTGACGTCATCAATGTCTTTTTGAAATGAGCTTTTCATAGATGAAGCTACCTGCTTCCCTCTTTTTTTTATTATTTATAATTTTGCTGGTACAAACCAATACTAGCATGAAAATTATTACAGAAAAGTGAGAGTGGCAGTGAAAAGACCTCGGAAGCTCTGCGGACGGCAGCTGGGGTGGCCATGGGTGGGGTCGGTGGCGATGCCTTTAATCAGTTGGCGCTGAGCCGCCACGAGGTCGAGGTGCTCGTCACGGACGCTCTCAGGAAATACGATGCTGACCGCACGGGACTTGTCGACCACGCCCTCGAGTCCGGCGGTGGCTCCATCGTATCCACGCGATGCACAGAGGCTTATGAGGTTTACTACTAGCAGATTTTTCTCATACTTGTTACGAATATTTTAATTACCTTTGATACCAGACATCATCTTACCTCCATTTCTTTAAAAAAATCGTGATTTGCTTTAAAATCGACCATTTTCTTCCGTTGAAGCAACTTCTACATTTTTGGAAGCTGTTCTTCTGTTGACTTAGTCATACATTTGTATTGAGCCATTTTCCACATTTATGTTAACCAAGTTTCCATGTTCGGTTGTATTCCAGACGAGCGGTTGTATCCAATCAATTGTTTCTAATTACGGTTGTGTTGCAGACGAACGGTTGTATCCAATCAATTGTTTCTAATTACGGTTGTATTGCAGACGATCCAAGCTGAGGTGAGCATTCTTGGCATTCCTCTATACCGGTACGCGACCAACACCCCTCGGTCCATCATCCAGCCGGACCGGCACCCAGGCCAGTGCTGGGCCTTCAAAGGCTCCCAGGGCTTTGTTGTCATCAGGCTCGTCGCACCCGTGAGACCCACAGGCTTCACCCTGGAACATATACCCAAGTCCATAGCACCCTTCGGCGTTATCGACTCTGCCCCCAAGAACTTCTCCATGTGGGGACTCATGACTGAGAACGACGAAGGGGTTCTTATCGGAGCATATCAGTACCGGGACGATGGAGAGCCATTGCAGTATTTTGCGGTAGATGAAGTCCCCGTTGATTTCTTCCCGTTCATTGAGCTTAAGATTGACAGCAATCACGGGAACATGAAGTACACTTGCGTGTATAGAGTCAGGGTTCATGGCATCAGAATGAAGTTATGAAACCCCTTCAGCTCGTAGTAAATGAGTAGGAATTGTTTCAAATTTTTACGCTGTCTTCAAAACATCGCACTTTTTTGTTGATCGTCAATATCGGATCTCTTCTTCATTGTTAGCTCCTAAGTTTTTTCCTTCCTAGTATGAATATGCTAGCAAGCAATTTCTTTGTAAGCTTTAAGACTGATGCGTTAGTGTTTTGAAAAATTTGACATTTAAAAGGAAGATAAAGAACGTGTTCAGTTTGTGGTTAGATAAGAAAGTTTTTTATGTTCTACAGATACTACGGAAACGTTCATTAGTTAATAATAGTTAGAAATCTTTTTGCTTCGCGATTGCCTTTTGTGTTTGTCTCAGAATTACTTTTGAACCGCGCTTTGCTCGTAATTGTAGTTTGAAATGTGTAGAGGCCACCTTCAAATGTTCTGTACATTCAATACCTTGATGTGCCTGAGTACTTGTTTTAGGGTGTAGTTTTGCCTGAGCTTTGAGCATATTTGATTGTGGGAAAATTGAACGCACTTCCAAATTTCCCTGTCGTCTTATGTAAATAGTAATTATCTAAATAATCATTTCGAGTTTATTAACCGTAGTTCGGTTATGCTGGTGGATTGTGCACTATTTGGGGTAGGTTTTAGGAAGAAGATGTATTCAGTTGAACATTCGTTTTATGCATGACCATTCAGATGGGAAATTGTCATTATTTGCTGTATGATCTAATACCGATAATTTTATTATCTTATCGTCATTCATTATGGAAACATGAAAATGAAGAATATATTCAATATGAGAATAAGTACAATATGTTTGTCTTGCTTCATCGAGTTGAGGTCGATGAAGCTTCGAGGGTTGATTTACTATCTTGACAAAAGATGTGTAATTAATTTGTTATTCATTTCACTTTATGGAGGGTTAAATTTTTTTACTGCAGCCGTGGTTTTTCTGAGCAACTTAAATGAATTTTATATTTGATTTGCTATGCGTTGTTTGCGTAATTGAGGATTCTCACTTTAAATTCTACTTGTACTTTTTTTTGGAAAGAGTAAGTTTTTAGCGGTACATATTGCTATCTTCCCTTTTGTTTTCTTATGATACTTATTTTCGATTTTTTCTACTCTTGTTTACGGAATTCATCTCCTCATGTACCTAAATTCACAGCTTTTCTTTAGTCCTACTGTCAAATAAGTAGGTTATGGCCGAATCAAAAAAGTCTGCAGGGTTCGCTCCAGTGTTCTCATTTGCAGATTTATTTGTGAATTAGTTTAGTTATCGCTGATATTTCAGCCATCAGGCTGTGTGATATATTTCACATCATAAATCACGGATTGTATTATATGAGTTGCTGAACCGAATACATGTATGTACAAATAAACCCCAAACAAAACTACGCTTTTGTTGCGGAAAAGACTCTGTAACTTTAATATCACTTAAGCTTTTTTTATACTAGGAAAAAATTAAGGTAATGGATAAATTTTCAACGTTCAAACCTAATTTTTTCATTGTCGATTAGAGAAGTTGCTATTTTTTCTTCGGGAAATGCAGTGATTGATGGTTTGTTGCTCTTCATTACGGCTGGGTATTTTGCTTATTGGGCTCCGAACTCTTTAGGTCGTAAACAAATCATCTCGCCTTCATAGAAAAAATTTATACCGCCTACAAAACCCAGTTAGTGAACTTGCATTCGCATCGTTAGTTTTGATTGATTCGTATCTAGAGAAATATTGAATATGATTTTACAGCTACATCACTTATAGGACCATTTAAATAGACTTTTCATTGATAAAACCAATTGACAATGACTGCAGTAAGATTAATTTATCATCTTAGATTTACTTCTGAGGTTAGCTTGTGCCTATTGTCCGATCTCTTGACCTGCAGAGGTTTAATTTTTAACTAAAAAGGCCAAGAAGTATACATTTGTGTCGCGGTTACACGCTTCAGTAATGGTTGTATCCTAGATGCATAGCACTCCACTTGCATTTATTCTACAACTCGTATTTCCCGCTTGAAGATTTAGACGCAATTTCGCAGTGAATATCTGTGGATGACTATTGATTGCATATCCTTTTTGAGAATCGACGCGTCGCTCACTTGTTGTCTCATTTATTAGAAATTCAATTGCTTTTACTTCATTGGAAGAAAGCTGTTGTTAACAGTGCAATGGTGTTGTACTTGAGAGAAGGTGACTAAGTGATGGCGCCGCTGTAATTTTCCTCTACAAAGTCAACGCAATGTGAGCCGAAGGTGCTAAAGTTTTGAATTTTTGTCCAAAGACTTCATGGTTTTTAATTGCTGTGATGTAATTTTCGATTGCAATTAGTTGTAAATATCTTGTTTATGGAACTCATTATATTAATTTTTGTAGATACCTGCATTTGTTTGTGATCTTTCGTTGCTGAAAGTCCGCATTGATGTGATGCAAGTCTGGACATTTAGAGTCGCGTTAGATGAGCGGGTGCCTTAGTGTTGGCAGCAGTGTAATGAGTGTGTGATAATGAACTTGATGAAATGGAACTTAATTTTCTAATATTAGTTGTGTTAGTGGATGCATTCCCGAGAAATGCTAAGCAATAAAAAGCCTGCCATGCTCCTTTAGAGAAACGTGATCAAATTAAGCTTCTGCAGCTTATTTCAATGATTATCAAAATACTAACGTAAAACGTTGTCTCTGAATAAATCATATTTGTTTAATTATATTCTAATAGTGTAATTGGAAATCATTTGCGAGAGCTACCATGTAATGAATTTTTCTAAGTTTGGAACATACTTTTTAATTGAAATTGTTTGAAAAATGGCAGTTAGATCGGAAAAGTATTCCCTAAGCGTATGTGTGTAGTAGTTGACTATCTCGTGAACGCACGACGTACACATACGTCCGCAATCAGAGTTTTTCAATAGACACGCACGTAAAGACAACATAAAAGATTAGGTAATGGTTTCAAAAATTGTGACGTATCTGATGCTGAAGAATGAAAGCAAGTTGCCTCTACTGATCCAGTGCCTTAATGTCTTCAGATCTCGCTTTCTTGTTGAGCTTGAACGAAATAGATTATTTGTGCACTTTAATGATGTAAATATGTTACAAACTGAAATTGCACGCAAATGGCGGATATGAATGTCCCAAAAAAGATGATGATGGACGATACGTTTACATTGAAGAATTGGTAAACGGCAAAATAAGTTATGGCCGACCATTTGACTTTACGGTGGCGCTTCTTGTTAAATTGAACTGATCACTTCTCGAAGTCCTGAGTTGGTCAGCGGCTTTATGGGATTTGGCTATCACGAGGGCGAACCGCCTAGCCGATCGCCGTGGGTCTCCGCTGTCTGGAGCATTTGATAATGGATGCATGCAGGTTTTTTCCGTGACATGAGTCCGTGATTCGCTATGCAGGCTGAATTTCTATAGTTGTTTCGCAATGTAGGCAGAATTTCTTGCAGTTTCTTCCTATCCCCCTGATTGACGCCGACGTTTCATGTAAATAGCCTTTAGTACGCGTGCAGTCTTTTTGCTGATTACTTTCACCTTCCTTATTACCTTCCCTTCAGCGCGCTGATATGTGACATCCGTCCAGACAAAAGACGTTAAAACGACCTGATTACGAGTTGATTTGATTTAACAACGTTTTTCCAGCGTCAGATGAATGGTGGCTTCCGTCCCATATTGGTGAAGAACAATTATTGATTAAATGTATTCACTGTGATGTCCACTACACTATCCCATACTTTTGCTGATACTACGTAAAAGCTCTACTGACGAAACCTTTTTTGTATAATAGGTAGTCAATCTGTGGAACCTGTTCCGTTTCTTTCGTAGATGAGCAGCGATGTCGTGATTGATTACAGGCTTCGCTAGTAGATACTATCTCTCTGAAAACAAATGTGAAATCCTATCGTCCGACAGTTCCCTTCATTGATAATGAAATTGATTTACTCTTAGGATTGGCATATTTTCAAATTATTTTCTAGGTTCTATCGCAATCATCAAGCCTCGTGGATTTAATAATTTTTTGCATTTTCTTACATGATTGCTTGGTGCTAAAACTTGTCGCTATGTTAACAGTCGCGTTATTTTTATTATTAATATATTTGGTCAGTATTCAATCAGCTGTCAGGATGCGTTTATATTAATTTATTGATTTCCTTTATTATATTTGCGTTTTGTAGTTAGAGATATAACTTAACTATAAGTATAGAGGACTAAACTTTTTGTTTGTTATTTTCGTAAGTTCAAAAATAACGAGTTTTATGAGTCCTTTTATACTCGTAAATTTGTTTAAACGTGAGCATTTGTGCACGCATTTCTCGTACGCATTGAGCATCACATACGCGGAAATAACAATCGTCATTGAGTTACGATTATTGTATCATATTTGTTGGCAGTATTTTTCTCTCTCCTTTTCAAGTTCTTTTTCATTATAGCGTTACGAGTATTGAATGCCGTTCTGTAAATTTATGCTTAAACTAACAAAGGTTACCGTTTATACGTTAGCAACATGAGCGTAATATTTCTGAATTTCTTCTCGGGATTCAAGAAAATCAATTCTCTACTCCGTTCCTGTGGTTTGCATATTAATATTTTTCAGGAGGCCGCGGTGCTTTTTTGTCTCTCAGTCGAGTACTTATGAGTACAATATTGTCAAGTTAATTAACGCGTTTCTTTTATTACCTTCAACAAAGTCCTGTCTTATTACTTCGTTTCTGGAAGTGGTGGAAGTTTCTGGAAGTGGTGGAAGTTTCTGGAAGTGGTAAAAGTTTCTGGAAGTGGTGTTGGTAGCAACCATATCCATGCTCCAGTGGAAACACTGTTGGCATAATCTAGAAAAAAACTATGTCAAGCTGAAATATGAACTAAAGCTAGTTAATCAAATGAAAGCCCTGCATTAATTATGAAGTTAATTTTGCGGGAGAAGAACTTCTAGGGCAGCCGGTGAAACTAAACGGGGAAAGAATGAGTTAGTCATAGCTGTGACTTGTCTGCCATATACATGAGATCAAAATACACTTCTCCATGGGTAGGAATAATGGAAAGTGTGTGACACGTCGATTATTTTATACATTATTGGTAATATTTAGCAATATTTTGGAGTAGTACTAGCCATGAAACAAGTCAGTTCACTGATTGACGTGGCAGGGGGAGATGTTGGATACTTTAGTATATGAAATAAATGGTGTGTCACACTGTACCCCACTCAACTCAGGTCACTTCCCTAGGTGGAGACTTGGAGAATCGTAAAGAGTCAGACTAAGGTTCAAACCTGTGATGAGAGTTCTCAGAAAAAAAAATAAAAAGGTAGCAGGTGACAGTTTAATAACTTAATGATGCTATAAACATTTCAAAAAAGACTTTAAGTTTGATGAATTTGAAGATTGAAAAACTTGAAATTATCTTTGCTGCCTGAGCACTGAACGACGGGACTTGATTGTCTATTTGTAAGACTGGGCAAGTGAACGAAGTTCGTCATTACAGTTTTGGACCAACCCGAAAAAAAACGTTATTAATTCCTCAGTTTTTTCACTTGGCTGGCCACCACAATTTGTCAGTTAATATGCTGACTTGGCTATATATGGCTTGAAGAAAACTGTCAAGCTTTTCTCTCCTAACGTACTATCTTTGCTACACATCAAATAATTACGCCTAATGCTGACCGTATGACTCCTGTACGCGTTTCAAATCTCGCAATGACAACGCGGGTTGGTGACGTTGCGTCTTGAGGTGCTTGCATGTGGCAGCCAGTACTTTCGGTCACAATTGGCCGTCAAAAGTTTTATCGGCCAGTAAGCCTATACACGAGGCCATTAATGGATTCCATAATTTTTTAAGTTTGTTTGTCAGTGAGCGTCCTTAGAGACCGTAGACCGATGGGCTTGGAGAGAATTTCCGTCACTTTCGTCGTTATTTTGTCCACCAGCCATCCCAGTAAAGACTGCATTATTTTTGCGCATATTATTTGTGCTATATGCATCAGATTGCTTAAATGGGTTCAAGATTGTGGACGTGATACATTTATTTTAATTTAACGCAAAACTATTTCAATAATTTTGACTATATCCTTATACTGTATGCTGGTAATTTGTGGCGGTCAGTATCGGCCAGTAAGAAGTGGCTGCCACAACTGGACCCGTGTAAACGCACCTCGTACTGAGTTGGCCGCATAGAACACTGATCGAGGGCGGCCTATCTGTGGCCCTTCAAATTTACTTTCATTTTCAAATTGGAAATAAGCGATATAATTTACACACTAAGATACATGAAATGTTGGAAGCTAGCAAAATGGTTCTTCAAATATGTTTAAAATTAGTGTATGGAGTAATCGTACGGAGAATTAATTTCGATGTCTCGTTATGCTCCGGTAAAAAGATGTAAATTCAGGGAGTCTCGTGTTCATTCCGGGACATCCGGGTCTCGGTATCACTCCGAATTTCCACTGAAAGCAGGAATATTCTCGATTCCCAAATGAATTTGGGTAGAGCTTTTAGGGCCTTCTCGTCTCGCATGAAATATGAAGTAGGGCAAATTCTTGCAACTGAATAACTAGAGACCACCAGTAGCGTCAGCTAGGTTTCTAGGAATATTAAATCGGATGAGGCTGAAAATTGGTTATCAAGCTTTCGAAGTGGTTGAGATCTGTTGTTTTTCCTTTAGAAGATTTCATGCAACTTGCTCAAACGGATAAGACGAAATTAATACCATGTAATGCTAAGGTGTTTTTAAGAATAAAGATATAAATTTGCTTAAGTTTTAATCAGGCGGTATGAAAAAATAATAGAAACGAACGATGCTCCAGCAGAAAACTTCCTCGAAACGTACGAGGGGCGCTCGAAATAGCGAATTTAGTTAATCTGTTCAAGTTTTACTAAAATCATTGACAGTTTTGATTTCGTGTGAGGTCGCAAATTAATTAACTTAAAAAAGCTTCAGTCAGAAAGTCTCTGAATGAGCGCCAAACTTAAGTAAACGAATGACAATTGACCAATGAGCGAGTTCTAATCCAGCTCGATCTTCGCCAGGGTGCATAATTTTAGTAGTTTACAATTATAACTCGCACATGTACAGATTTTCCTATGCAGTCAGACAGGTTAAGTTCTAAACAGATATTTTTTAATTGAGATTGATTAAGTCTTTTTGTTACTTGAGCACCTCTCAGCCTGAAAGAAATAGCTACTATAAAACCCTATCCTCATAAACCTAGTTGTTCAAGAGACAATGAGGAATTTAACGTCAAGGTTATAAATCAGAATTTGAAACAGATACAAAACTTAATTATTGCCTCATTTAAGTATCGGTAGCTAAAATAAATACCTTATATAGAAATCTAACCAGTATTTGTGCTACGTTACTTGCCATCGATGCCTCAGTAATTACTGCAAATTATCAATGATGTTTTGTTTAGGCCGAAATAATGAATTCATATTGATTGAGGGCCCTTGCATAAAATAACAAAACATGGTAACATATGGGCGACATAGCCGGTCGCCGATCCTTATAATGCTCTTGACTTGTCTCCTGGAGATCTGGAAACTGGCCATGCAGATCTGGAGACTCGTGACCATGCAGATCTATCTAAAACTGACGTTGAAGCTAAGTAGCTAATGAACATCCACCAATATATAAGGTGTCAGGCGCTTTTAATCGAATCATAAACATCTCCATATAGCTTCATCAAGTCTGTTCTTGATCGCATTTATACCCGGAGCAGGGAGTTTGCTCCTCACGTTGTCGGTGCCCCTGGTGTTGCTTCTCGTTTCATATAAGAATAGAATAGAAGTGTCGGAACGGAAGAAATAGGCCCATGGCCTGTTGCCGATTTTTGAACTTTTCGTGACTTGATTCACAAGGGATCCGGCCTATGGAACCCGATCTTTCCATAACTGACGATAGATTGAGATAGCCGCTGGACTTAATCCTGGCCCGTATATATAAGGTGCTATATAGGCTAGGCACTACAAGACTGAACATATAACTTATAAACTTTCTGGAATCTTGTACAGAACATGAGCACACTTGTATACTTCGATAAGGTGGCCATGCACACGTCGTTGGCAACAAATACTTGGAAGCTAAGGCATGAAGGCAAACTAACTCATGAGATTTGTTATCGAATTTTTATGAAAAGCCATTCGAAGATGGATATTTAATTGATCATCTATATCACTTAACAAATTATTGTTAAGTGATATTTGTCGGGAATAAAAATTATTTCGTGAAATTGGACCAGTACGTGTAAGGGCCAAGTAAACGAAACTATGGATCGTTTTATTCTGCGCATTGAAGTCTCCAAATAAACGTTTTATGTGGAGGGTTGGCCGCAGAAATTTAAATATTATCGTTACATTACATTGTTAAGTTTAGAAGCATATCTATACCAAAAGCTTGACAAATTTACATGATTTCTAAATTTTAATTTTCTTCAATACACGTCGTTTGTGTAACATCGACACAAATGAGTCATTTTAATTAGATGAGTTGAAGTATCCTCCACTAGATGAGTCGAAGACGTTGAACATGTCAGCAAGCAACTAATGACTACGTCTAAAATAATATGCGTTAAATTACTTTTTAAAGACAACACTTCTGAACAATCCAGTGTCTTGGATGTTACACATGTACAATGAATTTCTCATCTAAAATTCATTGTACAACAGATGTGCAATGAATTTTTCATCTAATTTTCAAAAATTTAAAAAATTAAGTTTTCAATTTTTTTAATATATATAATTTTTTTAATATATAATTTTTTCAAAATTATTTATTCTGTTAATTGATTCATGCATTGCCTCTGACTTCACGCAAGTGTGCAAAATTTCAGATCAATTAGACAGGTAAAAGTGTGTCAAATATCAGTTATAAGATTTGGAGCTGACAAAATTATTTTCTCAATTTTTTTAATTTTGAAAAAAAAAATAATTTTTAAAATAATTTATTTTGACATTTGAATCATGCATTGTCTCCAACTTTACAAAAGTGTGCAAAATTTCAGATCGATAGGATAAGTAGAAGTGTATTAAATTTCGATTACAAGATTTGTAGCAGACAGACAGACAGACAGACAAACAGAGAAACAGACAAGAAGTGAAGTTAAAGAGAAGTGTTGTAATAAAAAGTATCTTCTTTATTACGAATAATATATACAATTCACTGCATCGATGGATTCAAATACCTACGTACTGGAAGAGTTCTTTGTAGTGGAACTCTTAAATTCACTAAATTTTATCTTGACATTCTCATGGATATGAGAAATGTGCTAAATTTAGATACCTTTGCTTCAGTCTCCCGTAGCGATAAATTCTCATTATCGTTAAACTTTAATGACGCCTTAGGAATGTAAGGGAGATTGCAGCAAGCAAGTGTCCTACGATACATTTAATTCGTCTTTTGCTGCAGATCTATTTGACTTATCCGATGTTATGATTAACACTAAATGGCTTCCGTCTTTCTGATCATATTCCATTATTTTTGCGTATACATTAAGAAATATACAACCATTGATTGTTAAATTATTACATTTTTATATCTATATCGAACGCGGCAAATATTTTAGGCGTACACATAATGTTGGATGAGTACTATACAAAATATTTACGTGTCATTGGATGCTTTTGATATACAAGACGAGCAAACCCTTGTTTTAGATTAAAATACTGATGGTTTTTGAAGAGAGTTTACCACTGCACGCACACTCCACTGCACGCACACTCCACTGCACGCACACTTCACTGCACGCACACTTCACTGCACGCACAGTCCACTGCACGCACACTTCACTGCAGACACACTTCACTGCACGCACAGTCCACTGTACGCACACTCCACTGCACGCACACTTCACTGCACGCACACTCCACTGCACGCACTCTCCACTGCACGCACACTTCACTGCACGCACACTCCACTGCACGCACAGTCCACTGCACGCACAGTCCACTGCACGCACACTTCACTGCACGCACAGTCCACTGCACGCACACTCCACTGCACGCACACTCCACTGCACGCACACTTCACTGCACGCACACTTCATTGCACGCACACTCCACTGCACGCACACCCCATTGCACGCACACTCCAGACTCCGCCAGTCCGGGCCGCCGTCCATATAGTTGCTCTCACTCGCCGCTAGTGAAGATAGTCTGAACTTACCTCCGTGTTTGTCTCGATAGTTCCGGTTGTTTAATACTAAAATTGAGAAAATAAAAGCTGGTAACTGTGTTATGAGGTTATTAAGCTTAAGTATTTAAGTTGAAATGGCAGAAAATTGTTGTGGAATTCTAAGTGCAGTGACAGAGAGACGTGCTGCTGCTTGGTGGTTGTTGCTCTCGTGTAGCCGATCAAGTCGTGCCCCCAGGCTGTGCCCACGCGTTCAACTTGCAAGAATTTCCGTGTGTTTTTCTTTCTTGTATTACGTTTTAAGGTTAAAAATTGTTTAATTTAATATATTTTACGTTATTATTGGTAATATGAAAGCTTCGGTAAGCGTATAGATAAGGTGAATCGAAAATGTGTAGTCATCGTGCGGTTAAACTTAGTTGCTTGAACGCTTCTGCTCAGAACTTGCTCATGTCGTAAAAAATTGTAAGCCAGCATTGATAATTCGCACGATGATGAAGAGCCAGAAAAGAATTCCTTATCACTGCGGGTAAACTTGCGTTAACTCATGGTTTCGATTATATAATCGAAACATTTTGTTTATTTCTTACTTAACCTAACCTAACCTCATGATATGAGTCAACTGACGACATGTAGCCGAGTCAAAAGATTATAGACGAACCAATTCTGGGACGACGTCAAGCATCGGTTCAGCGTTGTAGGTCACCACTCATTTTTCCGTTTTGGTTCGGTTGGTGGGGTTGGGTTCAATCCAGCCTCTAGTGTATCCAGTTTGTGCATCCAGGATCCTTTGTTTCATGCAACTTCGGCTCCAGTTTGTCTAAACTTGTTTGTAAAACCGGATGATATGGCTAAATATAACTCCAGTTTATCTAAACATGTACTGAAATCCAGTAATAGGATGGCTAAATATGACTCCATTTTGTCTAAATTTGTCCCGGAATCCAGATGAGATGGACAAATAACCCAGCAGTTTGTCTAAAACTTTGTTTTAAACTAATATATTAGTTTCTGAAATCCAGATGAGGTGGCTAAATATATGAATCTAGTTTTCCAATGAGTGAAATATTTAGGGAAATTTCACCCCAACTTTACGTTATGAATATCAAGCAGGCAAAATTATTCCATAGGCTACCTTTGTTCCACGATAACAACGCTAATGTAATGGTAGTGCTGGGCCATTTATCAAACAAAGTGGTATTAAGATATTGAATTTTGATAAATAATTAGGTTGAATTTGACAATTGCTCATTTCAAAAGGCGCGTTTTGAATTATGGTTACTGAACATTATGCTTGATCAGGCTATTTTTTTCCTTGAATTATATTAAGCTAATAAATTTAGCATCATTAAGTGTGATTATCTGCTATGTTCATTGAACTAATATGTGATTGCCTGCTCTTATAGAACCGAATTCTGAGTCACTGCTGCATTTAGCGGACTTCACTGTGACTGGCTGCGTAATTTACGGGCATGAACTGTGATTGGCTGTTTCAATTAGCGGGCTGAATTGGAAATTAGCTACTACATTTGACCTACTGAATTAGAATCGGCTGTGCTATTGTGACAGACATTGATATTGGCTGCTGCACTTAGTAAAATGATTTCTGATTGGCTGTTGCACGTAGTAAAACGATTTGTGATTGACTGCTGCACTTAGTAAAATGATTTGTGATTGGCTGCTGCACGTAGTAAGATGATTTGTGATTGGCTGCTGCACTTAATTAGTAAGATGATTTGTGATTGGCTGCTGCACTTAATTAGTAAGATGATTTGTGATTGGCTGCTGCACTTATTAAGATGATTTGTGATTGGCTGCTGCACTTAGTAAAATGATTTGTGATTGGCTGCTGCACTTATTAAGATGATTTGTGATTGGCTGCAATATCGGCCTCGTGGTGCCTGTTCTTTTCGTACTACTGCATGCGGGATGCATGTGGGATTAGGGACTTTTTTTGCCGAAATGATTATTTTGATTAATTATAAATGATTATATCGATTAATTACATTGACGATTATCACGCTGAGATTGAGTAATTGTGTAATGTATGTAGTAAACAATAATTTTTCATATTAAGTCGCACAACATTGCAAAAGCAAATATATTGTTAAATTAAGCTACGAATCAATTTACCAATAAACTGTAATCACCAATCTCGTTAATCGCATGTTGCCCGACGGTCTTAGGGCACGTGTGCCCGACGCTCTCAGGGCACGCGTGCCCGACGCTCTCAGGGCACGCGTGCCCGACGCTCTCAGGGCGCGCGTGCCCGACGCTCTCAGGGCACGCGTGCCCGACGCTCTCAGGGCGCGCGTGCCCGACGCTCTCAGGGCACGCGTGCCCGACGCTCTCAGGGCGCGCGTGCCCGACGCTCTCAGGGCACGCGTGCCCGACGCTCGCAGGTCACGCGTGCTCGACGCTCTCAGGGCGCGTGTGCCCGACGCTCTCAGGGCGCGTGTGCCCGACGCTCTCAGGGCTCGTGTGCCCGACGCTCTCAGGGCGCGTGTGCCCGACGCTCTCAGGGCGCGTGTGCCCGACGCTCTCAGGGCGCGCGTGCCCGACGCTCTCAGGGCGCGTGTGGTAGTATTCACTAAAGCAATATTCTGACACTTTCCTTCACGTGAGCCTATCAATTCACGCTATTCGCGCAAGCAAGAATTAGCATGTCGTTCTAATATGCCTTTCATATAGCTGTCTTGTGCAGTTGTCTCTGCGGCTGCCTTTTATAGCTGTCATGTATAACTGCCTTTTACCGCTGTCTTTACTGCTGCCTTTTACAGCTGCTTTCTCTCGCTGTCTTCTACAGCTACCTCATACAGTGCCTTGTACAGCTGCCTTTACGTCTGCCTTTTGCCGCTGTTTTGACAGCTGCCTTATACAGCTGCCTTATGCTGCTAGCTCAGACAGCTACCTTTTACAGCTGCTTTTATTGTACAGCTGCCTTATACAGCTGCCTACCACCGCTGTCTTTTACAGTTTCAAATTACATACTGGTGACAACAATAAGCGCAATTGTTTTCTACAGTAGCTTATAGTTTCCATATCCCGGAAATTCTAGAATTCGACCCTATAGTTTGAGGCTTCATGAAACACGCGTTGACAGTAATTGAGGTTTCCATCCAAGTTGCGTCGAATTTTTATTGTTTATTGTTTTTTTATTTATTGTTTATTGTTTATTTTTTGTTTTATTGTTTATTTTATTGTATTGTTCATTTTTTTTCTTGTAGCAGGGGCTTTGTAACCACGCTTCTTGCTATGGGTCTGATTAAGGCACTGATTTGAATGACTGGAAGTACGATGGCTCGCTTAATAACTGCATTTATTTTTGGTAGAAGTATCAGCACGAAAGCACTTCTGATAAAACCATATGAAAGTTATTAATTGGTATCATGAATAATAGACTGAATTAAGTACTTAGATAAATACTCATTCTAGCACTAGAACAGACTCCAAAATATGATAGTAATATAATAGTGATATAACTAGAAAATACTCCTAGAATAAGTACTCATTCTAGCACTAGAATAGACTCCAAGATATCATAGTAATATAATTGTAACGTAACTAGAAAACTAGAAAAGACTCCTGGAATAAGTACTCATTCTAGCACTAGAATAGACTCCAAGATATAGTAGTCATATAATAGTAATATAACTAGAATAGACTCCTAGAATATATATGTACTCCAATGAAAGCCAAAAACTATTCGTTGTAAACCCGTGTCTGCACCGCATAATATCTTCAACTTCGTCTTTGGTTTCTCTCACTAAACCAGAAATGTTCGTCTTAGATTTGCATGAAAATATCACTCGTGATCCCTGAATTATTAATGATTTGGAGCATAATCTGCCCTGAAGGATCTTGGTCTTGATTTCTCTAATCTTGACGAGTCTCTGCGCCATAATTTTTATAGTGTCCCTTATTTGGAAATTCGCATTCACATGCTTATTAGTATACGAGGCCACGAATCACCAATAGCGTCCATTGTATTCTTAACATCGCTTAAATTTTATACAATTTTCCAGCCGCAATTCCTCAAAGAGATCTTGAAGAAGATGTGCAGATGGCGGAGGTCGATAACGCTCATTATTAGAGGCACCACGCAGCTTGAACATTCACATATTTTTATTCACCACGAGTCAACTTAAGTAAATAAGACGCAATAAGTTTCTCTTGAAATATGTGAATGTCGCTTCAGATATCCCACTTCACCTATCAACTCTGCAGCGCCGGCAAGTATTGTCTCAGTCACCCTTAAAAAAAATATGCGATAAAAAACGGACAGGTGATCAGAAAACTAACTGCGTTCTTCTGTGTCATAAAGTTCACAGCGGGGGCCGGCGGTCCCCTTTGCCCCCCACTCTCCCCCCTTACGAGATCAGGGTTCTTTTATAATAAATGAATTCCTAAGAGAATGTGCGGTTGTGTGGGCACACATCTGTGTTATATGAATAATTTATCTTTCGTTAGCTTGTAAAATATTTAAGTTGCATGTGTGTGGCCTCATGACTTGCAAAAATTGTGTATTAATAATGATATAAATAATATGAAAACCTCTACAATATATGGAATGCTAAGTACATATTTTATCAAGCGTTGGCCCAATGGCCACCGGTTAATTATTTTATTTGTATTATGTTGTAGTATCACGCTGGCGAGATTTAGTAATGAAAATGTCGCCAACGAAACCGTAGAGTTAACTGCGCCTAAGTTGGCATTAGTATTTACGGAAATATGAATATAAAATATCCATTTTAGCGAACAAGAAAAGTATAAGAAATGTGGAATAAGCAAGCCATCATTAATTGCATTCGAGATCGCACCGTAGTTACAGGGCTAATTATTGACTTTAATATATCTGAAAAAACGCTAATTTACTGAAGAAAATTTTTTGAATCGCTGCCTTCGTGTTGAGCATCCGCGTTATCAAACTAATTCTGTAGCGCTATTTCTAATATTTTTAATTATACACTGTTACTATATTTCAATAACTTGAAATATATATGTTTGAAGTGTAGGTATATGTACTTAACACATCAAATTTTTGAAGTGAGTTTAAACTATATACTACTTTTAGTGCATCAACCGTTTACATAGTAAATGTGAGTACATGTATAAGAAATAGGGAATACGTTTACATTTAGTAAATGTAAAGGGAGGATAGCAGGATATTTTACTGTATGAAGCATAGGAGGATACTTGACTGAAATCAGATACATGCATAAAAACATGTTATATTCGTGTCATTTCGTGCGCTGCTTATATTCGTGCGCTGCTTATATTCGTGCGCTGCTTATATGTATATGTGTATACTAACAGCAACACGCATCACGTATGTGTCTCTGGCTATTCTAAACTGATCATAAAATTGCAGAAAATAAATTTTCTCCCTTTAATTGCTAATCGAATGTCGCTACAGATTGGAAATGGTCATTAAATATCATTGATGTAATGTTGATGACAAACTATCAACATTAATCCATTATTGATCACAAGCCACCGCATTGTTTCGATGGCTTGGAAATCGATATGAAGAAGCCAGGTTTGCCGGGTCGTTTGATCCAGCAGCGTACCTACCATCGAAATCGACTAATTTTACTTAATTAAATTACTCTTGAGTCGTCAGTTGAATTACAATGAGAGCCTCCTTTACCCAACAGGCATCAGACGCTGAAATAACGTTGAATTAACGTTGAAACTACGTCGAAATTAACGTTGATTTTACGAAATAAACTAGTTTTCAACATTGTCCCAACGAAATAATCTAGAAATAAACGATGTTTCACAGAACTAAACTCGTAATAAACGTTTTAGCGAAATCAACTCGTATTTAACATTATATTTAGGAAATCAACTCGTATTCAACGTTATATTTAGGAAATCATTTCGTATTCAACGTTATATTGTTTCGTATTCAACGTTATATTGAGGAAATCAACTCGTATTCATCGTAATATTAACAAAATCGACTGTTGTTCAGCGTAATATTAACTAAATTAACTAGTATCCAACGTACGCTGGTTCAACGCCATTTACCAGGAGAGTTCAGTCTGGACTCATCGTAGTATCACTCATAAAGATATGATGTATAAATTCATGTATTACATTTACAGTTATTAATCTATGTAGGCATTTATCGAAGTAGATATTGATTGGTGTAGAAATTGAGCAATCTATAGGTATTGATAGATTAGTATTTGATGAATGATTGATAGACGAAGTCATTGTTCGATATAGGCATGGATTGATGTAAGCATGGATTGATGTAGGCAATGATCGATGTAGGCAGTCACGAATATGAAAAACAAAAATGAATTATTGTATTTTGTGCTCGAGAACTTGAATTAATGGATATTGTGACAGATGGATGACATTCGTGTTGTAATTTATAAGGAGTACATTAATGAGTCATGCTGTAACCGGTGAGTAGCACCTAATATATACAGTATATACATTGGCGTTATAAATTTAACTAACTTCGTGTTTTCTCATTTCAGACCATTAAGGTTTAAGTTAGTGTGAATAATGTAAAGTGTGAATAACGTGAAAAACTTCTCGCTTCCTTGAGTTTGAAATCTGAACATACTGTATGTATAGTCAATACATTTTTCTAAGCGTGTCATGAAAGGTTAAAAATCAATCTGTAAACTTATGCTGGAAAACTGACTTTTTGGTTGATCTTCCTTTTGTCGTTTTTGGTGGAGATTTCTAACTATTTTCGGATGCAACTGTGCATGTTTTAAATTATGATTCAACCAATGCATAATCAAAATCCAAATACATTATATTTATAGGAATAATCTTCGGTGTGATATCAACGGCCAAATTTTCATGTGTGGGACATACATAATTCGTGACAGAAATATTCGTGATAGTTATTAAATAGAGGAACGTTTTCGTGGAAATCACATTCGTGACATTGGACGATGGAATTTAACACAGCCGCTCACACCCGCAGTCTGCTATCTAAGAGTTCGCACGTTGGAAAAAAGAGCTATCAGTGATAATAATTGTGGATTTTCAGTAATTTCATCACCTTGAATTGTTATAAGGCTTCAAATAAAAGAAATAATAGAGACCAAACTTATTCAGTTTTCCTTGTGCATTTTCTCCAACTCTTTTTAAAATTGGCCAGCTTTTCAAGTCCATCTTGTTTCTCTTCATACTTCTTACCTCCTTCGCTTCCATCGCAAATCCTTTCTTCGATGCGAGTTTGTAGTACTTAATACTCCTACTCGAGTATGTAATACTCCCACTTGAGGACTTAATACTCTTACTCGAGTATGTAATACTCCCGCTCAAGTACTTAATACTCCCACTCGAGTACGTAACACTCCTACTACTACACGTAACACTCCTCCTACTACACGTAACACTCCTCCTACTACACGTAATGCTCCAACAAAAGTTTATAGTACGTAGTTCTACACGTAAACGTAGTACGTGAAACGTTCGTCTCCAACACGCAAGAATGCTGCACCGGTGCGACCTGTAAAGTTTGCCCTGAAATGCAGACGTCATAATTAGCGTCGTTTGCTGGCCTGCAGTGCAATTAAAGAACTCAAATTGTGTCTTTTTATGGTCGTTAAGAAACCGACTTAGGAAAA